CAGTTGATCTGTCCAATGCTGAAAGTGGAGTATTGAAGTGCCTCAATACTACTGTATTGGAGTCTAAGTCTCTCTTGAAATCTCATAACATTTCTTTTCCATATCTAGGTGCCCTGTAATTAGGTGCATATACATTTATAATAATCACAGCTTCCTGTTATATTGATCCCTTAATCATTACATAGTGGCCCTCTTTGTCTCTTTTAAAAGTTTTTGTTTTATAGTCTATTTTGTCTGATATTAGGATGTCTTACACCATCTGTTTTTTGGTTTCTTTTGGTATGGAATATCTTTTTCCATCCTTTCAATTTCAGTCTGCATGCACCTTGTTTGGTGAGATGTGTTTCTTATATGCAGTAAATAGATAGGTTTTGTTTTTAAATGGTTCTGCCAGTCTGTGTTTCTTATCTGGATAGTTGAGACCATTTACATTCAAGGAGACTACTGATAAGTAACAACTTTGCCCTGCCATTTTTCCAAAAATATTCCTATTTTTTACTTTTAATTTCCCATGAACTTTTACTGAGAGATTTTCTTTCTTTACCTTCTTTCGTAGTGATGAGCGTGTTTCTGTGTTTCTGTGTGCAGCACATTCTTAAACATCTTTTGTAGGGCTGGAAGGGTGGTGACAAATTCTATGAATGTCTGATTGTTAGGAAAGGTCTTTATTTCACCTTCATTCATATGTGAGAGCTTTGGAGGGTATAGTCTTCTGGGTTGTCAGTAGTTTTCTCCTAGTACTTGGAATATATCTCACCATTCTTTCCTAGCCTGTAGGGTTTCTGATGAGAAGTCTGCTGTGAGTCTAATCAGAGAAACTCTGAGAGTAATCTCATTTTTCTCTCGTGCACACTTCAGAATCTTTTCTTTATGCTTTACTGTGGTGAGTTTGATTTACTTTATGTTGTGGTGAAGATCTTTTCTGATCATTCTATTAGGTGTTGTACTTCCTGTATTTGGATGTCCCTTTTTTTCTCCAAATTAGGGAACTCTTCTATTACTATTTTACTAATCCTTTCTCTATTTCCACACCTTCATGAACTCCCAGATCCCATATGTTCAGTCATTTGTTAGTATCCTGTAGATTCCCAACGGTGTTTTTTTTTAGTTTTTTTATTTCCTCATCTTGTTTTTGGTTTAACTGTATAATTTCTTGTGTTTTGTCTTCTAAGTCCAAAAGTCTTTCTTCTGCTTTACCAAATCTGTTGTTTCAGGCATTCCACTGCATTTTTATTTGTTGTATTGAATTCTGCATTTCATTTTATTTTTCTTTAAGATCTCAACTTTATGATAAGGGAGCAATTTTCTTTCATGTCCTGTATAGATTTCAGTAGTTCATGCATTTGCTTCTGATTACTTCTATGTAATCTTATCATCATTTTTTAATTCCATTTCTTGCATTTCTTCCATCTCACTATCTTCACAATATAGTATTGAAGTGTTGTGTTCTTTTAGGGGTGTCATGTTATCTTCCTTATTCTTGTTTCTTCAATTGGAGCATTGTTTTTGTTTTTTTGCTGTGATGGCCTTTATCTTTGTACTATGACTCTTTAGATAAGTGTCTGCTTTCAGTGACTATCTAGAGGCTTGTAGTGGGTGCGGTCAGGGAGCTCTTTTAAGTTCTCCAGGTAAAAGGGCACATCTAAGGTACATACCCAGGTTTTGCCTGGTAAATCTCTCCCAATTATTTTATAGGCAAGGTTTATTCTGTTCAGATGAGATCCTCTCCTCAAAGGAGACCAGTGCCTGAGTTCTAGCCCCAGTGGGTATAATATTCATCTGCTCTACCCCTAAGAACACAAAGGATCTGTGCAGTCCTCAGTGTAATTTCAGATACCCCTGCATTGTACACCAGGTAACCATGGAGCCCTGAGCTTGTGGAGTCTCCTACTATAATTCCTAACCACACTGTAATTCCTCCCACGCATCCTCAGTTTTTTTCCATAGTCTTTGCACAGAGGCTTCCCACAGTCACAAGCTCCTAGTCCCCGTTAGTTCTCCCCACCAGAGTCAGGAGTCTCTAGTTTGCTGGTTGCTGGGGGTGGACACAAACTGGTGCATCTGAATGTATGTCCAAATTGGTGCCAGATCTATCTGCTTGTTACAGAATGGCATTCTAAAGTGATTGGGAAAAATGTGTCCCTCCTTTTTCTTTTTTCTCCTCTGGTTTGGCAGGTACACTATCACCCATGGGGCTCCAAACCAGGTTCCTTCTAGGCTCTTCCTGAAACTTTATCACCAGCGGATTGGTTTGCTGTAGTCTGGTATCACCTCACTTTCTAAGACTGGTGCATAGGCTCTCAGCTGCTGGAGTCCTGAGTTGTGGGCATCCACGCCCTCCATGTCAGTCTACCATGTCCCTCTAATTTGTGTTTCCTCTGCTCTTTTCTCTAACTCTTCCATGAGGCTGAACTCTCTCCACTTTTTGTAAACTTTCTTCTCCTGGACTAGATCAGTAAGCTCCTTCCCTGCTACACCATCTTGGGACTCTTCCCTCTCTGCCTTTAAATATATAACTTTTAAAAATTTTAGGGGAATGGTGTTGTGGTGCAGCAGATTAAACACTGCTTGCAGTGCCACCACACCATGTTGGAGTGTTGCTTCAACTTCTTACTGCTCCTCCTCCTATCCAGCTTCCTACTAATATGCCTAGGAAGGCAGCAGAAGATGGTCCAAGGATCTGCGGTCCTGCCATCCATGTTGTTGACCCAGAGGGAATTCCTGGCTTTTATTTGTATCATGTCCCTGACCTGGCTGTTAAGGCCATTTCTGTTTTTCTCTCTGAGACTCTGCCACCGGCTGGATGACTGAACATCTCCTGGATGCCCAACCCCTTTCATGTTGACTCTGCAAGGTATGCTGCTCTCTTCTCAATGGATCTGTGAATAATCAAAATGACTTTTGGGGTGGGCATTTAGTTTAATGGTTAAAATAGCTTCATCCCATACTGGAGTTTGATATCCATCTCTAGCTCCTGATTACACCTAGGGTAGACCCTTGAAACCAAAGTGATTCTGTTCCTGTCAAAGAATAGGAGACCTGGACTGACTTCCAGGTTCCAGGCTTCCACTCAGCCTCATCATAGCCATTGTGGGCACTGGGAGCATGAACCAGCAAATGGGACCTATCTGTCTTTCATATGTCTCTGCTTCTCAAATAGTTTTTTTTTTTTAAACCTGCTTCATGTGTGTGTGTGTGTGTGTGTGTGTGCTCCCTCTGTTCTCTCCTGGGCTTTACTTTCAGTTGGTTTTCTCCTAGGGGGTTTCTATCTTGGTAGGACAAATTGGACAAAGTCCAACAAGAGCCACAAGGGCACTCTTCAGTGTACACCATGGAATGCTACTCAAGAGTTTTTTTAAAAAAATGAATTCCTGTTGTATGCAAAAAAATGGATGAAACTGGAAAACATCATGCTTAATTAAATAAGCCAGTCCCCAATATACAAATGCCTTATGTTCTCCCTCATCTGTGTAACTAACAGAGCACCTAAAGGTAATCTATAATAGTGAAATTGATACTATGAGATGCAATGACTTTGAACAGCCCTTGTTTTTTTCCATTTTTTTTTATTTTCCATACTATTTGTTGAATGTTTTACTTAGTATAGAGTTAATTAGATGGGTATAAAGTTAAATGAAATAGACCTTAGTAAAAAATTAGGAATGGGACTGAGAGGGAAGAGAAAGAGTGGTAGGAGTGTGGGTGGCAGAATGGGTATGGTGACATAAATCACTGTGTTCCTGAAGTTGGAATTATGAAATGCATGAAGTTTGTATTCTTTAAATAAGAGATTCTGGGAAGAAAACAGGTTTCCTGGGAGAGCCACAGCTGCTGCTCACAGGCAGGCACTTAAGCATCAGGCATCTGCCAGGATAATGAAGCATCCTGTGAAAAGCACAGTGTAAACCTCCATGACCACCTCACCTGCAGACCTGTCAGGGCGGGCTACAGTTTACAGCCACCCTCCAGAGAGCCCTCAAGACCAAATTACTGGCATATTCAACAAATATCAACCATTTCTATAAGGAACAGCTGCACTGAATAGTTAGCCCTACTTATTGAAGATGATACAGTGTTGATGATGATAGAGATATCTGACATTTTGAGTGCTTTCATAATCAAAGGCTGGATGTTACCCAAGTGCCCTGGGCCAATGACCTTTACACCATTGCTTCTACTTAGAAACCACTGTTTGAGTGAGAATTTAGAGCAGCTCCATTAGGTAGGAGGCCTCCAGCCAGTGTGGTAACTACCCAGGTGACTTGTTTCAACTCAGTGACCATCTAAATACTTACGAGATTCTTTTCCAACAGGCAGCAAGCAGGGGATGAAGGAAGGTACAAGAAATAAATTTTAAGTGGCCCAACATATTTACCTGATGGCAGTTCTGGTTGATGATTTCATAGGAAATTGAATTGAAACTATTGAGGATTATAAATTTGTTATATGCAGAATAATATGCAAACACAACAATTTATGGCTGGTCAGTAGAAGTTATGCAGATATGTTCAAGTAAAGAAAATGAAAGGCATTCTTATTTCTTATAAGTTAAATATAGGCTTAATGCATACTCTTTGTAATGAGCATGAATTAGAGTAAAGCAAAGTCTCATTCACTTTATGGCAATGTATTTTAAAGGTATAAAACAAAGAAGTTGTCACTGCTATGTAGTAAAAACATATCTTTTTTAGCACTCTGGTTTCTGTTTTTGAATAGTAATATATATATATATATATCAAGTAGAATTTTAAAACACAAATGAGCTTAATACATGTGAATTATATAGAATTTTTTTTAAAAAAAAGGCAAAAAAACTGATATTATGTATGTTTTTCTTTTTTGAAAATATGTTAATGATATGATGCTTTCTTCTCATCCCTCATTAAGGATTGACGTCTCTCATCTCTTCTCTTGGGATTTGTAGCAGCAGACATCCTAAACCAAAATCAATCAAAAGAGCAAACAAGTACAACAGCAGAAGTAATTTCTTGATTACTCACCCGAGAGAGAAATCTGACTTTAACGTCATCATATAAGATGGGACAGTTCAACAATTCAATAATGACTCTGTCAGTTTCGACATCATGAAATATCTGTGAATGAATACATGAAATTCAGAACTAAAAATCTAGCTGCTGATGGGATCTGCAAAATTGAAATGGTTTTCACTTATCCAGCCTTTCTGTATTTATCAAGTACTCATAGCCTTATAGAAAACTCACTATATATATTAATAAATATAAACTGTTGGGGATGACACTGTGGCATAGCCAGGAAAGCCACCACCTGTGGTGCCGGCATCCCATATGGGTGCCGGTTCAAGTCCCGGTTCTCCATTTCTGAGCCAGCTCTTTGCGATGGTCTGGGAAAGCAGTGGAGGATGGCCCAAGTCTTTGGGTACAGGGTCTCTGGGGAGACCCAGAGGAAGCTCTTCGCTCCTGTCTTCGGATTGGCGCAGGTTGGCATTTACAGTTCCTAGGCTCATGAAAGAAGCTTTCTTATTGTTCCACAAAAGTCCTTATATAGTCTTAGGGATCACTTAAACATTTTACAAACCATTGACTACTAGGGTCCCATTGCTTTGGGTAAAGGGGCTCCTCTTTCATCCATATGCTTGCATAGTTTCTCATAGTGCTAACCCACAGAACCATTAAGTTAGAATCATCTGGAGCATTGCTAAAACTACAGATAGCTGAGACCTGTTCCAGATTTCCTGAATCATACCTTGGAGGCACAGATGATGAATTTGCATCTTTACAAACTCCTGGGAGATTTTCTTGTGCACTACAATTTGAAATTTCAGTGCTGGACAGTAAAAGGTAAAATGACCAAGAGGAAAAAATATGGCTAAAAATAATAATACTCTGAAATTTATTTTGACAGGCAGAGTGGACAGTGAGAGAGAGACAGAGAAAGGTCTTCCTTTTATCCGTTGGTTCACCCCACAATGGCTGCTGAGGCTGGTGCGCTATGGCCGGCGCACTGCGCTGATCCACAGCCAGGAGCCAGGTGCTACTCCTGGTCTCCCATGTGGATGCACAGCCCAAGCACTTGGGCCATCCTCCACTGCCTTCCTGGGCCCCAGCAGAGAGCTGGAATGGAATAGGAGCGACCGGGACAGAATCTGGTGCCCTGACCGGGACTAGAACCCGGTGTGCTGGTGCCACAGGCAGAGGATTAGCCTATTGAGCTGTGGTGCTGGCCATAATCTGAAATTAAAATCTTGATAGATTACTGGTTATATGCTCAACATTTGTGGGAACCTGAATGGCAAAGCCACAATTTAAAATGATATATATTTTAGAAAATACCCTGAACAAACCTTTTTTTTTTAAAGCAATTTGGTTATTTTAGCTCTGGTTTACACCCAAACTCTTGGTTTCCATGTTGGGTAATAACTACAAAGCAACATAACATCTCCTTTGTGGTGAGTGATGGTTTGGGAAGGCCAACATGCTGATTTAAACGTGAGCTTTAAAACAAACTTCAGAATTTTTACTTCATAAGCTTTCTCTTACCTTACAGTTCTTAGAAGATGAGCATGAAAAGACTGTCTGTTGCATTGTTATAATTTGAATTTTTAGGTCACTTCCATCACCTTTCCCAACACCTTTATAAAATTAAAAAGATAGGCACACTAATGAGGAAACAGTAAAATATTCTAGCTGGTTCAAAGTATCACACACTGACAGGCAGATAGTAAATGATGCAGTGAACCTACAGCTAGATGCAAATGGGTCAGTAACCAATTGCAATCCACTGAGCATATCCAGGTTTCATTTCTTTGTACAAAAGTTGTTTGCATTTTCACTTTTCTACAACTTACAAAGTAGTTGAAGAGCTCAAAGACAATGAAAGGTGAAGATAATCCTAGAAAGCATGTAGTAACAGATAAGACATCACCCATTTCAAAGCCTCTCATTCTTTTTCCTCTCACTCTCCCCAGCTCCTCTCTCTTGTTGTCACAACCATTTGAAAGACTATTTTTATTCCAAAATCAGGCTGATCCCAGTAGGTCTCGCCTGGTTATCTACAATTTTAACTTGCCCAACTGGCCTCTCTGAGTCATTCTAAAAGCTAAGACACATGGAAAGCCGAAACCTAGGGTCATGAAACCTCATATTCCTGTTTTTTTTTTTTAAATTATCTATTTATTTATTGTAAATGCAGAGTTACAGAGAGAGAGTGAGAGACAGAGAAAGATCTTCCATCTACTGGTCCACTTCTTCAAAATGGCCACAATACTCATGGGTGGGCCATGCTAAGGCTGCACCCAGATCTCCATCTGAGTCTCACACTTAGCTGCCAGGGACCCAAGCACTCAGGCCAACCTCTGCTGTCCTCCCAGGTGCTCCCACAGGGAGCTGGATTTGGACAAGCACTTACATGGATTGCTGACATTGTTGGCAATAGCTTAACCTTCTGTGCCACAATGCTGGCCCCTGAGATTGAGGTTTTTAAATCCTCTATTTTATGTTAGTCTGAAAGAAGGAAATCATGCCCATAAAATTCCACATGACTTCACATCCACTAACTACTATTATAAATCTGGGCTACTTCTTCTGTTTTCCAGATCTCCACCGTACACTTGTAAGCAGTGTCTCTACAGGATTTAAATAAAATCTAAAATAGTATTTTTGAAAGCTTTTATTTAATAAATATAAATTTCATAGGTACAACTTTTTTTGTATAGTAGTTACTCCCCCCCACCTGCCCTCCTACCCTCACTCCCATCCCAGCAACTACTCCTTCTCCCATCTCATTCTTCAATAAGATTCATTTTTAACTCTCTTTATATACAGAAGATCAACTCTATACTAAGTAAAGATTTCAACAGTTTGCACCCACACAGACACACAAGGTATAAAGTACTGTTTGAAGACCAGTTTTATCATTAATTCTCACAGTACAACTCATTAAGTACAGAGGTCCTACATGGGGAGCAAGTGAGCAGTGACTCCTGTGGTTGATTTAACAACTGACACTCTTATTTATGATGTCAGTGATAATCCAAGCCTTTGTCATGAGCTGCCAAGGCTATGGAAGCCTTTTGAATCCACAAACTCTGACATTATTTAGACAAAGCAATAATCAAAGTGGAAGTTCTCTCCTCTCTTCAGAGAAAGGTAACTCCTTCTTTGATGGTCCCTTCTTTCCACTGGGATCTATCACAGAAACCTTTCATGTGGGCCATTTTTTGCCACAGTGTCTTGGCTTTCCATGCCTGAAATGCTCTCATGGGCTTTTTAGCCAGATCTGAATGCCTAAAGGTATGATTCTGAGGCCAGAGTGCTGTTTAGGCTTTGAGTTTTGAGAAACTATTCTCATTGTTCCTTTGAGAGATGGGTGTTAAAACTTCATTAGGCTAAAATGCCCATTGACTTCCCTGAAATTGTTTAATACTCACCAAGATTTCTTTAGATACCCTAGAGTAAAGCTCATATGTATATAGCCACAAGCAAATCTTCCCAAAGATCTTTCCAAAGAATGGGAACATTGTCACTTCTGCCCAGTTTTTCAATTATACATAAAACACTTACTATGAATTGAATGAATGATGATTTTGTTTGGCTGGAGGATTTTTCTGGGTGGGAGAGTCCAGTGGTGGAGACGCTTCACCTTTTCAAAGTAGCCTACATATCTATGCTGCAAAGCAACAGAAGCTTCAAGTTAGATGGAGATGAAAAGCTGAAAGTCAGAAATTCCTATTGTGAGGGCAGGGCATAGAGCTTTGTAAGGGCAGCAAGATATTAAGGAACACTTGCTGGATTCTGTTATAAAACAGGGTATTTTTTATGTTTGTGGCATTATAACTGCCTTAGGAAACAATATTCCTCCTTTATTTATTTTTTTATTTTTTGAGAGGCAGAGTGGACAGTGAGAGAGAGAGACAGAGAGAAAGGTCTTCCTTTTGCCGTTGGTTCACCCTCCAATGGCCACCGCAGCCGGCGCGCTGCGGCCGGCGCACAGCGCCGATCCGATGGCAGGAGCCAGGAGCCAGGTGCTTTTCCTGGTCTCCCATGGGGTGCAGGGCCCAAGCACCTGGGCCATCCTCCACTGCACTCCCTGGCCACAGCAGAGAGCTGGCCTGGAAGAGGGGCAACCGGGACAGAATCCGGCGCCCCAACCGGGACTAGAACCCGGTGTGCCAGCGCCGCAAGGTGGAGGATTAGCCTAGTGAACCACGGCGCCGGCCTCTTAGGAAACAATATTGAACTAAGTGCTATGGGAGGAAACCAGGAAGGAGTCAGGTCTGGCTTATAGGTTGATCATAATTATGATTGTACAACATATTGATGTGTGGATAGAAGCAAGGTTGTGACTGAGTTACAGGAAGCTTTGTGATTGGGTGAAGAATTATCACTTGACATAAAGGAACCTCTGCCCCGGGGCCTTGCTAACAGAACTCTCAGATCTGAAGTCTGCAAGTGAGTCCTTCTATTGCTACCCCAGTGAATCAGAAGATATTCAGGTGTGGCATATGGCGTGCTAGTTCTGGACTAAAGTCTGGGAGACTGTGCATGACTACAGGAGAAATGGAGAAAAGGAGATGTATGGAGAGAGTCAGGGAAAGAGCTACATTTCACATACCCTTGACTCCTGCCACCAGATTCATGGCATGAGGACACAGTGTTGAAAAGCTGGGAAATGCAAAGGGTCTAACTGTGTTAGAGTATGGGATATGTGACAGCACTTAGTGGAGAACATTTGAAAAATCCAACTGTAGATCTTGAGAGCCAGATTATAGTTGCCATGGCAACAAGGAGCCACCATGGATTTTGGGCATGGAAATGGTGTGATTAAAGATGGACTTCAGTAAGTTGGTATATTACTTTCAGACTATGGTATGTGTGTGTGTGTGTGTGTGTCTTGGTTTTTTTGGCTTAGGTATGGGAGAAAAGTATTAGTGGGTAAGGCTGAATTCTTTTATCTAACGAAAGACCTAGGGCGGGCAGTTACCATGTGCTGCTTTCAAAGCCCAGAGTAGCTATTCAGTTGCCATCACTTCAGTCAAAGAAAATCTCTCATTCACAGCTACATTCACATCTCCCTAAGAATTCTCAACCAGCTCTCATTTTGGTTTTAGGGGAACAATACAGAAGAGAAGCTGTCCACAGAATGGACTAAACTGGGCTTCAGAGTTTGAAAGATCCAGACTTCAGTACTTGGTTCCAGTGGTTAATTTCTCTGAACTTCAATTTCATAATCTATAAAATGGGATTCATAATAGCACCTACTCATGGAGTTATTGAGAATATTAAATGAGGAAATGAAGATAAAGTCCTTAGCATGTCTCAACAAAATCTAGACTGTTGTTAACTCCATCAGATAAATGCTTTGATTTCTGCAATAAACAAATCACAAGGAATAAAAATAGTTGGGAAACAGAAATGGAAAGAGACCTAAGAGAAGTGGTGTTTAAATGAAATGTCTGGGCCTTCTTTTATCCTAACTGAAACAGAGTTTTCTAAGATACTTAGGCAATTGTGAAAATTTAAAAATAAGCTAGAAATTTGAAATTGTTAACTAAGATTTGTTAAGGCATACCATTTTTAGATATGCTAAATGGTAGTAAGAGTTTTGGGTTCTTCTTGAGACCTTATGTTAAATGTCATATCAAAATATTTGTGGGACAAAATGATCTGATGTCTGTAATTTGCTTCAGAATAATCCAGGTTTTGGGAAAGACAGCGTGGAGTAGGGTTGAGGAGTTTGAATAGAGAGAGGAGGGAATGAATAAAACATGATTGGTTGGTTATGGGATAAAGTGATCACTGAAGTTGCACAATGAGTATAAAGGGATTTATTGTATAATTCTCTTTTTTGTATATGTTTGAAAATTTTCATAATCTTTTTAAAGCAAAAAAATTTAGCAATCTCCATGTGAATGTTAGGATTGTTAAATGAGATACTTGTAAGTAGAGAATTGTTTGGTAGTTTTTTTTTTTTAATTTATGTATTATTTATTTGAAAGCCAGTGTCACAGAGAGGCAAAGGCACAGAGAAAGAGTTCTTCCATTGGCTCATCCACTCCAAATGGCTGGAGCTGGGTCGATGGGTGATCAGGAGCCAGGATCCTCTTTCCAGTCTCCCATGGGAGTGCAGGGGCCCAAACACTTGGGCCATATTCTGCTGCTTTCCCAGGCCACATCAGAGAGCCACATCAGAAGAAGAAATGTAAGGACCCAAACTGGTGCCCATAAGGGATGATGTCACCACAGGCAGCAACCCCACCTGCTAGGCCACAGCACCAGTCCCATAATAGAGGTTTTGAAAAATGTTTATTATCCTTTTTTTTCACCATCAAAATATAGTTTCTCCCTTTCCCTCCCCCTCCACTCCCACATGGAAGTCATCCAGAAGTAGTTCTTGTGATGTTCTATGAGGGCTGAATTCCCCTGAGAGGGGCTTGTGGAAAAACTCAGTTCCTCCTCGACAGCGAAATCAAAGGCAACTGACTTTTAGATAACCTTTAGGAGTCTGGAATCTTAGGTATTAGACTTGTCTATTACAGGAAAGTAATCAACTCCTGAACTCTATACACAACCACAAATATCAAATATTTTAGAGAGGACCCACTGCTCCTCAAGCCTGGGCAGCCACTGAGGTGCAGCTTTTGGTCCTGAGGAGGAGTTAAAGCCTGCTGCAGGGCACCCAAGGGCCACTGCCTGACATCCAGCAGAGAAGAGTCTAAAGTGAAACCATGTGTCAGGGGCTAATCTTAACCCACTCCTCCCAAAGAAGTATCCCCTTTAAAATGAAAACTTACTTGAGAGGGAGTTTCCACTCCGTGATATTTGGTGCTGGTGGTTTGATCTATTCGTTGATGTCCAAAGAATGAAAGACTATCCTATAGAAAAAGAAGCAACATAACAATGGTTCATCTGCAACCTTCCCTTTCCCATAGTAGATGTTTTTTAAGTTTCTAAGGACACATTATTTCCTTAAGGGAGCATTCTTTGAGGAGAGGTTGCTCAAAATAACAGTATTAAAAAGGCCACATCAAAGATATATCTTCTTTGATTATTCCTACATGCATAGTATTTCAGAACTGGAAAACCCTTGGAAACCATTTGGTCCAACACTTCTTCCTACACTTCCAATATACAAATGAGAAGACTGAGACCAAAAGAAAAACAAACAACCTGCTCTGGAGACAATGTGGCCAGTTGGATGCAGCACTAGTCCATGGCCCTCAGCCTAGGGCCCTGGACGATAATATTAATTTTTAGAAAAAATTGAAACTCTATGAGATCCCATTGGAAAGAATGGGCCATCAAAGAAGGAGGTACTTTTCTCTGAAGAGAGGAGAGAACTTCCACTTTGATTATGGCCTTGTCTAAATAAGGTCAGAATTTGTGGACTCAAAAGGCTTCCGTAATCTAGCCACATATCAAGGCTATCAGTTTTTGAATCTTTTCAAAAAGAAGACATTGATTATATTGGACCATTTTATTTTCTTATTATATACCATTTACATGATTATAGTGTTAAGTCTTAGGTCTTATGTCTTTGGGCAGAAAAGTGTACCAGTTATTTTAAATAAAATTTTCCCTGTCGTTGAAGCTCAGTACCTAAGTGTGTTGATGCCACAAAAGAAAATACTTTGATTTGCATTACTTGAATACTTGAAAACTGAAATTGATAAGATATATTATGTAATGAATTAGGATTTTATTTCTGGATAAAATTAGTAATAAAATAAAGATTTGAAGTACTTAAATGTTGAAAATAAAATTTTTTTTTTAAAAAAAGGCTTCCATAGCCTTGGCAGCTTATGACAAGAGCCTTGGGTGATTACTGATGTCATAAATAAGAGTGTCAATTGTTAAATCAACAATGGGAGTCACTGTGCACTTAATCCCTGTGTAGGATCTCTGTCCTTAATGTGTTGTACATTGCGAATTAACGGTAAAACTAATACTCAAACAGTACTTTATACTTTGTGTTTCTGTGTGGGTGCCAACTGTTGAAATCTTTACTTAGTATATACTAAGTTGATCTTCTGTACATAAAGATAATTGAAAATGAATCTTGATGAAGAATGGGTTGGGAGAGGGAGTGGGAGATGGGATGGTTGCAGGTGGGAGGGAGGTTATGGGGGAAAAAGCTGCTATAATCTGGCCAGTGCCCTGGCTCACTAGGCTAATCATCTGCATGCGGCACTGGCACCCCAGGTTCTAGTCCCATTCGGGGCGCCGGATTCTGTCCCGGTTGCTCCTCTTCCAGTCCAGCTCTCTGCTGTGGCCCGGGGGTGCAGTAGAGGATGGCCCAAGTCCTTGGGCCCTGCACGCACATGGGAGACCAGGAAGAAGCACCTGGCTCCTGGCTTTGGACCAGTGCAGCGTGCCGGCCGCAATGCGCCGGCCATAGCGGCCACTTGGGGGGTGAACCAATGGAAAAAGGAAGACTTTTCTCTCTGTCTCTCTCTCTCTCTTACTGTCTAACTCTGCCTGTCAAAAAAATATAATAATAAGAAGAAAGCTGCTATAATCCAAAAGTTGTACTTTCAAAATTTATTAAATAAGTTTAAAAATTATTAAAATAAAGAAAATAATTTGTCAGATGGAAAAAATTGAAACTCTAATCCACATTAATAAACACAGGAGACAGACAAGCACACACATAGACACACACACAGACACACACATCAAACATTGATATTTTCTGTCTCCATTTTAGTAAGGAAATGCTACACATTAAGTTGCTTTTACAACTCACTGAAAAATAATGTTTGACGTAATGTCCTCGAACACTTACTTTAAAACATGTGTATCTTAACTTATACAGACAAAAGTGGCTAGATTAGAGGGCTGGCTGTTGTGCATAACCCTCAGCTTGTCTTCTCTCTACTGCAGACCAGCAGACCAGAGCTGCTGGAAGTATGTGCGTAAGTGGCAGCTTCCCAACAATATCATGGCAGAAAATGAACGCTGCTTAAGACATGGGAGCAACTCACCTTGTTTTCTCAGCAGTTTCTATGTGTTACAGGTATTATGTCTATTGACTATGCAAAAATAATAATTAACCATTAGAGACTCAGTGGGAAAGCAAGACCCATTATCTATTTTTAGCATATTCAAGGGTAGCCAAGGTCCTCTGGAAAACTCATCTAATTAATCTTGATATTATCCCCATGAGGAAGGAAGAAGTCTCCCTAGTGGCAAGGATGCATCTCTTTTCCTGCAGTGCTCTGCATTTGTATAGTATGGCTTTTCTTACCTCACTAATCCTGCCCCTACTGGGACCCACCTGTATTTAAAAGGTTAATAGTATATACATCATGGCTTTTTAAAAAATTATTCTTATTTTTAAAATATTGCATTACAATTACCTTAACTACTGAGATTTTTGATATTCCCTTAAATTTTGTGCCTCACAAATTTCCCCCTAGTCCTGGTCCAGAGTAAGAAGTAGTCATTTATTAATGTCATAGTGGATATGAAACAAAGGAGGAGCCAAAAAATACTTTCTAATGACAACCTCCCAGTTACAGTTTCACTTAACCATAGGACTCAGAGAGTCACTGTAACATCCTAGCAGTGATGTTTCAGAACTAGCAATATCAGGCAGCACAAGACAGAGTGTGGCAACATCCTTCATACCTCTGCAGTACCAAAGAGCTGATTAGCAATGAGACAAACACAGACCATGGTCCCAGTTCTCCCTAAAAAAGAAAAGAAGTTAAAGAAGCCAGTTCATGGTAGAACTTAGTATGAAAATACAGAAGTTTCCAGAGTGTGTTTTGGATTGACTTTTATATACCCTGAATGTGCTTGTTTAACCAAAATATTTAAGTTCAGTAATAGCCAAGATATTTCACTGTTTTGTGGTTGAATCTTTAAGTTCCCCCATTTCATTTTTTAAAATTCCAATAAATAAGGTGCTGGTGCTGTGGTGCAGTCAGTAAAGCCACTGCCTGCTGGTGTTGACATGTCATACGGGTTTGGGTCCCAGCTGCTCTACTTTGATCTAGCTCTCTGATAATGAGCCTGGGCCCTTGCATCCATGTGGGAAATCCAGAAGAAGCCCTGCCTCCTGGCTTTCGAACTGCCCAGCTCTGGCCATTTCAACTAAATGGAGAGTGAACCAGTGGATAGAAGACCTCTCTTTCTGTCTCTCCCTCTATCTGTAACTCTGCCTCTCAAATAAATAAAACTTAAAAAAAATTCTATATTTTAAAACTTACTCATATTGTGTGATAGTAAGATGAATCTGTTTTATACTTTAATATACCTTTTGAATTTATTTAGAAAAAAAGAAAAAGTGCTATTACCTTTGCCGCCTTTGCAGTGAATCACTACGACATTTTCCTTGTCTTGAGCCAGCCACATATTTACTTCTTTGGCAAACACCACCATCTCACTGATTTTAAAAGTAAGACTTTTAGCTGAATTAAAATATTCCCCATAGAATAAAGCCCAATGCGTTTAACCCTCTTCTGACAGCCAGTGTGGCATAAAACTTACCTGAGAGTAGGGACGTTATGATCATCAATCATGATTCTTTGGACTCTGTTATGAAAATATTCAGGATCGTAAGCTTTTTCACCTAAAATAAATCATACAGATGTCATACCTTCATACCTAATAACAATAAATGATGAAGTTACGAATAAGTTAAAGTTTTCTTTTGGAAGTTCCTTATCCACTCTCAAAAACAGCTGAGTGGCTCTAACTGCTCTAAAACTAACTTAAGGGTCTCAAAAACATAAGAATATTAGTGACTTATCCATTTCAGGTGATCTAAATCCAACTGATTTTTTTGTTCAACAGGCTTTACTTTAGCTTTATAGCAGACTATCATTATACTATTGTAGGGTATTCGGAAAAAATGGAGCAAAGGCAATGTAACTGGCCAAAATGCTTTCCCTCTGAAAATGTCCACTTAATAAACAAATAGAGGAAAAAATCAGGAGAGACAAAAGTTATAACCTAGGGATATAATTTGTTAATTTTCTTTAAATGTTTTAGTTTCCTTTTTTATAATTTTTATCCACTCTATAACCACAGGCGTAATTCACTACTAACCATAATATTCAACAAGTAAAAAGTGAGAAGACCACAGTTCCACAGGAGTATAAACAAAGGCTAAAAATGACAATCTTCCCCACCCCACCCCCACCTACTTAGTTGTTTTGAGAAAATTCTTTTTTTTTTTGGTCTGTGTCCTCTATGCAGTGTGCCACAGAAAAATAGGAAAATAGAAAGTCTTCTTAACCCTGAAACCACTGGAGTGGATCATCCCTAATATGGTTCACCTCAACTTCTGCCTCCTAGGTTCTAACAGGCCTGCTTCTGTTGTAGGGCACTCTGTGCTGCTGAGCTCAATTTTCCTATTAAATGTACCTGAGCAAGATCAATATTTTTGAGCTCACTCTCCTCACTACCACCAAGTCTTATGATTAAATGACAAGTAGAAATGAAATTGTCTTCCAATATACAGAATTGTTTCTATCTATAGTAGCAAAATATCAAGTCATGTACATACTGCACAGATTGTAGACTCGGTAGTGGTTTGGATGTTTGGTATCCAGGAACTTCACAACTTCCTAAAAGAGACAGACACATATCTTACTATCCAGCATAACCTAGGAATGACCTAGGAGTTAGTTGCAGGAACACAATGTCTGTTACTTCTGTTTGTCTCTCACTCATGCTTTCTAGGGGATATTCATAGAATATGAAGGTACATGCAGTCCAAGTCATGTCTAAGCCATGGATGGTTTTCAGACAGTTCACCAAATGTGCCTGGCTACTCAAATTATTCTCTACTCTAAATGTGCATTGTTTACTGCCACCAGAGAAGGAAATTAACTGATTAGCTAGCTCTATTTTATGTATTGTCCAAATAATTAATTTCCAGTTAACATATAGTTCTTATTTAAATCTAATTTTCAATAGATATCTTTTAGACAACATTCTGATTATTATGGTATAACTAAGAATTATATAAAAAATGTAAAAGTACATAGATAGTATTGTGTGTATACATGGAAGAAAAAGATAAGATTTTATCAAACTTTAGATAAGTCATGGCAATATGGAGATACTGTGATGCATTTATTTTAAAAATGAATATATATCTGTGTATATATAATTTTGAAAATAAATAATAGCTGTTACTTAAAATACAGCGAAAATACATGATATCAATCCATTATGATATTTTACCTTAGAGAGTAAGATTTCAGAGGAATACTAACAAACCTGGGTCAACAGTAAACTAAGACTCCACATCTGTGTTCACTGAGAAATGAGTATTTACTAGATAAATACTCTTACCTTAATTGGATTCCTGTAGAAAGACTGTTTACCAGAAGATGGAAATGACATGGCAATTATGCGATCTGAAATTCAAAATAGTCACTGTTACGAATGTGATTAAGGATATGATATAATATATGAAAATTTATTTTAAGTATGCTTAGATAATGGAAAAGAACTTTGTTTTTTAAGTTAATTTCTTTTTTATTTATTTGACAGTTATTTATTTATTTTACAGTTAGACAGCAAGAGGGAGAGACAGAGAGAAAGGTCTTCCTTCTGTTGGTTCACCCCCCAAATAGCCGCTACAGCCGGAGCTACACCAATCCAAAGCCAGGAGACAGGTGCTTCCTCCTGGTCTCCCATGCGGGTGCAGGGCCCAACCACTTGGGCCATCCTCCACTGCCCTCCCAGGCCACAGCAGAGAGCTGGACTGGAAGAGGAGCCACCAACACTAGAACCCGGCACCCATATGGGATGCCGGCACTCCAGGCAAAGGATTAACCAAGTGAGCCAGGGTGCTGGCCCTGAAAAGAACGTTCAAGGGGTTGGCCTAGTGGTATATTGGGGTAAGCGGCTTCCTGTGAGGCTGACATCGTATATGAGTGTCAGTTTGAATCCCAGCTGCCCCACTGCTGATCCAGCCCCCTACTAATGCACCTGGGAAAGCAGCAGAAGATAGCGCAAGTACATGATCTTTTGCCATCCATGTGGGAGACCCAGATGTAGCTCCTGGCTCCTGGCTTGGGCCTGGCCCAGCCCCAGCCAATGCAGCCAACTTGGGAATGAACCAGTGAATGGAAGATATTTCTCTTTCTCTCCCTCTTTCTCCTCCTCTCTCTTTTCCTCTCCCTCTCTCTGTAACTCTGCCTTTCAAATAGAATAATGGAAACTTTGAAAAAACCTTTCAAGATTGAGGTTTTCAGAAAAAAGCTAACCCAGACTCAGGATAATCAAGAGAATATACTAAATCATCCAAGGTAATGACCAATAAACTGTCATGGCGATCTAAGACTCAGTTGATTCTAATAATATGCCAGAGCACCCTGTGAAGCACCAGAGGAAAACTGAGAGGTCTGGATTCCAGTGATGGTGGGAATTTCCAGGGTTTCAACACTCCTGACTCAAAAGACTTAAGACCTACAACGCAGTGGCCTCCATCTCTGGGGTTCTAGGAAGAAAAGAGGACTCTCTGGAATCTGTAAGACCCAAGAGAACTATCAGAACTCAATAAATTCTCAAGAAACTCAAATGGCATCAGAAGAAATCATTCAACTTTCTGTACAGCAGTCAAGTATCCCTGATTTGGTATGATATGGTGATCTTCTATTGTAAGGGTTAAATTACAGATATGTCATACCACCCCACTGGCATATGTGTTTGTGTGGGAAAGAAAACCTGGGAAGAAAATGACTTAGAAAAGGCTAAAGAAAAAGAAAAATTTAACTGCACACAAGAAAAATAGGACATTAATGTAAGTAAATTGACAGCTAAGCTTCACAAACCAGTTACGTAAGTGAGATCCAGGTCAAATCCATCTCTGTTGTATCTCCTTTTGTTTCCTGAAACCTGAGAGTTCAAAACAGTCATTAACTTATTTGTAAAACACAAATCAACTTAGAGGTAGAGAACATTATGCAGGTATCTACAACCCTTGCCATTATGTCCCCAAACTCATGTTTTGCCCACTCACCAATCTTCTGGTCAGCTTTTCAAGTTGTCTTTTTTGATAAGCCAGATGGAAAACTCTTATCAAAATTACAAGGCGTAGAGGTCGAAGCAGAACAGCCAGCCTAACAAACATTTAAAAGATCCATTTTTTTGTTTCAGAAACAGGATTTTATCAGGATGGACAAAGTCTGGAGCAGTGGTTCTTAACCAGGGGCACGTATGCCACCTACTCCTGGCCACCCACCTAGGGGAACCTCGCATTGGCTGGAGACATTTTGGATTGTCACAGCTGCTGGTATGGGGTGCTACTCACATCTAGTGGATAAAAGCCAGGATTGCTACCAAATACCATACAATGAATAAAATTGTCCTCTTTCCCATAACAAAGAATTATCTGACTTAAAATGCCCATAATGATAAGTTGAGAAATTCAGCCTAGAAAAATAGTAATAAGTTCTTAGAATTTGTTTATTCAATATTTACAGTTTAAGAAATATTCAAGTTTTCCCCATCAAAACAAACTTACTATTCAACAGTGTTATTCTCCTCAGTAACATAGGTTTACTACCACTGCTAATGAACGTCAGGCAGATAGCAGATTGACACCCTTCCCAAGTGCGCTAGCTGGGAACTGATCTTCTGGACTAGTACTTCTCTAACTTGGGCACACATAAATGCATCATCTGGAAGAGCTTGTTTAAAGATAGACTGCTTGGGTGCCAGAGCCACAGATTTAGTAGGTGTGGAATGGGGATCAAGGTGTTTTTCTCCTAGCATTTCTAGTAAGCCCTCAAGTAATGTTCAGGTTGCTTATAGAGGACCACATTCGCTCATGCTATTTTCTTCTATTAAATTCTATTTAAGCTGTAAAATGTTCATATATTTCATACATACAGATTTAGGAATATGGTGGCACTTTCCTCCCACCCCTCCCTCCACAGCTTGTTATTTTCAAACAACTCCAAAGCCTAACACATAACACAGTTAATTGGGTCTGAACTGAAGCCTTATCAAAGCTGGAGTATAGAAGAAAGTCAGCTATTTGACTAATGGATAAGCCTGGTGAGCTCCCGCCTACTATATGTGCATCCCAAATCATATTTGCTTCTTTTCCTCATTGCTCCAGTAAAAAATAATTTCCTAATCCTGAACGGTTCTAACTTTGCCTCAACTTTCCTCATTTCTACGATAACTGTACTGCAAAACCACCTCTGCATTGCTATCCATATCACTTCTGGGTTTTCTGTTTTGTTTGCTGTTCTTTGATACTCATGATTAAAGTCATTTGAATTTTGCTTATGCTAAAATCAAAGGTTTGAAGTATGTGGAAATTTATCTAAGATTTCATTTTTAAGTAGCTTATTTAGTACAGAATCAGAATATTCCAAGTTAAAAAGACTATATGGAATAAATGCCACAGAAAATACAAAAAAATTTAAAAACTGAGAGATATATGTTTCATACCTTGGTATGTCTTTCAGAATTCTTAGCTCAAAAAAGAAGTAAATGATATCAATCACGAGAGTTATCGCAATAATGACAGCATCTAAGGTGTTAAATAGATCAGAAAAATATTGCTTCCTCCTGCAATATAAAAAAATAGTTTGTCCCTCACAAGGGAAGATAAGAATATATTTAAAGTGCATATTATTTGACTCATTCCAATTAAGCAATCTACTTTCAATAATTATTTAAAATGTAAGTTCTAGATTCAATTTTGATAAAAATGAAATGTGAATGGAAATTTTACATACAGAAAATTTATATTCATTATGAGATTTGTATATATAACTAAAGCTTTAATATGGCAGTTTCAGTGTAGTAACAGATGGAGGAGAACCACAGAATAAGGCAAGCATTGATTTCATGTAGGTGACAGAAGAAATGTGGGTGTTGGGCAATGGAAGGTGAATATTTCACAGCATTAGAGCACCTGGAGCTGTGAGGAGTTATAACAGAGAAGCTTATGAGAGAAAGAAGCATCACTATTTAGACCACCAAACTCATGGTCTGGCTCTGAACCGACACTGGAATACCTGCAGGCTTGTGTAGCCTCCTTTAGGCAAAGATGAATTCCATCCACCACAGCTTCTTCCTCAAAGTGGCTCCTTCAGACATGGGCACTTGTTCTCCAGGGAATGCTTCTTCTGAGTCAAGGAGGCCCCTTTCAGGGACTGAGAAACCTGACTTTGGGCAACTCTGCTTAGTTCAATGGCATGAGGATGGGGAGTCAACAGAGAGGAGACATACTGCCTTCTGAGATCCTCTGGATGAAAGGAGGCTGGAGAACTTAGTCCTTGACTCCCCTATTGGTCATGTCCAAGGCTTGCCTCATACCACACACTTTCTCAGAAAGCTGGCAGAGAAAAAGTGACCGCTGCTTCACTGCCCTCTAATGGGAAGAGCATGCTTCGTGTCTCCGCTTCACCTCACTAAAATTTGCAATCTTTTTTATAGAGATTATTTACTTGAAGGGCAGAGAGTTGCAGAGAGAAAGAGAAGGAGAGAGAGAGAGAGAGAGAGAGAGAGAGAGAGATCTTCCATCTGCTGATTCACTCCCCCAAATGGCCCAAACGGCTAGGGCTCTGCCAGGCCAGAGCCAGGAGCTTCATTCAGGTCTCCCTCATGAGTGCAGTGGCCTAAGGACTCGGGCCATCTTCCACTGCTGTCCCAGGTGCATTAGCATGGAACTGTATTGGAAGTAGAGCAGCAGGAACTCTAACTGCTTGCCATATGGGATGCTGGTACTGCACGTGGCAGCTTAACCCACTGCACCACAGTGCCGACTCCAAAAATTTCATTCTGAGATAAGACACAGAGTTATTTATTATTTATCATCTAGTACTTAGTATACTGTTAAATGTCAATTATGATTCAATTATTTTTTAAATATTCATTTTTTTCGAATGGCAGAGTGACAAAGACACAGAGACAGAGAGACAAAGACATTAACAGAGAGAGAGAATGTCTCATCTTCTGGTTCACTCCCCAAATGACGGCAATGGCTAGGGGTGGGCCAGGCCAAAGACAGTAGCCAGGAACTCTATCCAAGTCTTTCATGTAAGGGCAGGGTCCAAATACTTGGGCCATCTTCCACTGCTTTCAGAGAAGTATTAGCAGAGAGCTGGATCAGAAGTGGAACAGCTGGGACTTGAACTGTTGCTCTGAAATGGGATGCTGGCATTGTAATGTGGCTGCCTAGCTCACTCAGTCACAGTGCCAGCAACATGAGTCAACTCTTTTTTTTTTTGTTAGATTTATTCATTTATTTGAAAGGCAGGGTTACAGAGAAGGGGGGAGGGGCTTCTATCCACTGGTTCACTCCCCAGTTGGCCACAATAGCCAGAGCTGCGCCAATCTGAAGCCAGGGGCAGGAGCTTCTTGTGGGTCTCCCACACAGGTCTTCCACTATTTGCCCAGGCCATAGCAGAGAGCTGAATTGGAAGTGGAGTAGCCAGGACAAGAATTGGTGCCCGTATGGGATGCCAGCACTGCAAGAGGTGGCTTTACCTGCTACACCACAGTGCTTGTCCCATGGCTCAACTCTTAATAAAAGTATCAATATTTGTACTTCATATATGTGTTTCTATTTCTTTTTGAATATTGTTATTTTAATTGTACATATTTGTATTTACTTTGATAAGTTGATACATGTTTTTAATGTGTGATTATAAAATCAGCTTAGGTAGCATTTATATCTCCTTAAACACCTTTTCCAAATCTTTCCTTTTTATTATTACTAATTTGACAGATAGCGTTAGTGAGGAAGAGAGACAGAGAGAAAGATCTTCCTTCTGTTGGTTCACCCCCCAAATGGCCGCTACAGCCATAGCTACCCTGATCTGAAGCCAGGAACCAGGTGTTTCTTCCTGGTCTTCCATGTGGGTACAGGGTCGCAAGCACTTGGGGCATCCTCCACTGCCCTCCCAGGCCACAGCAGAGAGCTGGACTGGAAGAGGAGCCATCAACACTAGAACCCAGTGGCCATATGGGATGCCGGCGCCACAGGTGGAGGATTAACCAAGTGAGCCACGGCGCTGGCCCCAGAATCTTTAACACTTAATAATTGTACACATTTAGGCTATAGTGTGGTGTGTCAATAAGTGTGTATGAATCATATTGATTAGATCAGTATACTTAATGTTCCCCTCTTTTTACCATTAGCTTATGCTTGGAGTCTTCAAACCCCTCTCTTCTAATTTATTCATAAAATATCTCATAGGTTAGTGTCATCCCACTGTATTGTAGAACACTAGAATTTATTCCTTCTAACTGTATTTTGGCACCTGTTACCCAACCTTTAACTTCCCTCTCACCTTTCCAGGCTCCAGTAAATACTATTCTAAATATAGGTTGACTTTTAACTTTTTATTTGTTCATTTCCACATATGTAAAAGAACATGCAGTATTTGTCTCTTTGTGTCTAATTTACTTCACTTAACATAATGTTCTCTAGTTCCATGCGTTTTGTGGAAAATGATAGGATATTGGGGCTGGCACTGTGGTGTAATGGATAAAACCGCTGCCTGCAGTGCCAGCATCCCATATGGGTGCCAGTTTGAGTTCTAGCTGCTCCACTACTGATCCAGCTCTCTGCTATGGTCTGAGAAAGCAGTAGAGGATGGCCCATGTCCTTGGGCCCCTGCACCCACGTGAGAGACTCGGAAGAAGCTCCTAACTCCCGGCTTTGGATTGGTGCAGCTCTGGCCGTTGTGGCCAACTGAGGAATGAATCAGTGGATGGAAGACCTTTCTCATTCCCTCTTTCTCTCTCTCCCTCTCTCTTTTACTCTCTCTCTCTCTTCTCTGCTTCTCCTTTTCTCTCTGTTTAACTCTGAATTTCAAATAAATAAATAAATCTTTAAAAAAAAGAAATTGATGGGATATCATTCTTTGTTATGGCTGAATAATTTGCCATTGTGTATATATGTCACATTTTCTTTATTTATGCATATGTTTATGGACTCCTAGGTTGATTTCACATCTTGGTATTGTGAATAATGCAGCAATAAACATGAGAGTGCAGGTGTTTTTATGACATGCTGAATTGCTTTCCTTTGAATTTGTGAAGTGAGATAACTGGATCATATGGTGTAGTACATCTATTATTTTAAATGTCTATTTATTCACTTATTTATTTTAAAAACTTATTTATTTTAAAGAGGGAGAGGAGAGATCTCCCATCCGCTAATTCATTCACTCCCAAAATGCCTACAATGCCTGGGATTGGGCCAGCTCAATGCTAGGAGTCAGGAACTCAATCCAGGTCTCTTCTGTGTATGGCAGGGACCCAAGTACTTGAGTAATCACTTACTACCTCCCGGGGTGCACATTAGTGGGAAGCTGGTTTGAAGTGTGGAGCTGGGATTGAACACAGGCACTCTGGTGTAGATGTAGGTGTGTGAAGCAGTGGCTTAACCCATTGTGCCAAGACTTGCCCACAGGTATATCTGTTTTATTTTCTTGAGGAGCCTCCACACCTGCTGTACTAATTTACATTCCCTTCAACAGGGTATATGAATTTCTTTTTTCCCACATCCTGACCAGCCTTTATAGGTTTTTTTGTCCTTTTGGTAATAGCCTTTCTAACTGGGATGAGATAATATCTCACTAGTTTTAATTTGTATTAACTGATGTCTAATGAGATTGAGAAATTTTTCATAAATTTGGCCATTTGAATTTCTTCTTTTGAGAAATGTCTAATATATCATTTTCACATTTTAAAATTAGATTTTTTGAGGCCAGCATTGTGGCATAATGGGTTAAACCACTGCCTATAATGCTGGCATCCCATATGGTCACCAGTTCACATTTGGGCTGCTCCACTTCCAATCTAGCTCCCTGTTAACATGAAGTGGAGGATGATCCAACTGCTTTGGCCCCTGAACACATGTGGGAGACTCAGATCAAGCTCCTGGCTCCTGGATCCTGGCTCTTGGCTCCTGGCTTTGGCTTGGTCTAGCCTTGGCCATTATGGCCACTTGGGGAGTGAACCAGTGAATGGAAGATATCTCTCTCTCTCTCTCTCTCTCTCTCTCTGTGTGTGTGTGTGTGTGTGTGTGTCTCCCTCTATCACTCTGCAACTCTTTCAAACATATTTTTTTTTAGAAATTGAATTTTTCTGTAGACATCTTTTAGCTCCTTACATATTCTATATATTAATCTTCTGTCAGATATATAGTTTACAAATATTTCTCCTATTTCGTAGTTTGTCTATTCACTGTGTTTATTGTTTCTTTGGCCATGCAGATGCCTTTTAGTTCAATAAAATCCCATTTGTCTATTTTTGCTTTTTGTTGATTGAGCTTTTGTGGTCTTATCCAAAACCCATTGCCTATATTGATGCCTTTATGTGTTTCTCCTATGTTTTCTTCTAGATGTTTCACAGTATCAGGCCTTATATTTAGGTTGATCTATATTGAGTTGATATTTGTATAGGGTGAGAGGTAGGGAAGGGTGATGTTTTAATCTTCTGTCTATGGATATTCAGCTTTCCCACCATCATTATAGAGGACATTGTCCTTTTTCCATTGTATATTTTTGGTGACTAAGTTGAGAATCTGTTGGTTATGGATGTGTGGATTTATTTCTGGGATCTCTATTCTGTTTCATTGTTCTATGTATCCTTATGCCAATACCATGATATTTTCGTTACTATCACTTGATGACATGTTTGTGTTGCTTCAAGCTTTGTTCTTTTTGTTCAAGATTACTTTGGCTCTAGGGGGTCTTTTGTGCTTTTATGTGAATTTTAGGATTTTTTTCTAGTTATGTAAAGAATAGTCATTGGTATTTTGATGATTGTATTCAATCTGTAAATTGCACTGAGTAATGTGGACATTTTAACAATCTTAATTCTTCCAATCCACATGGGACCTCATTCCATCTGTATGTGTGTATTCTTCAATTTCTTTTATCAATGTTTTGTGATTTTCATTGTAGAGGTCTTTCTCATCTTTGATTAAATTTATTCCATGATGCTTTTTAAAAAATGGATCTTTTGAATGAGACTGATTTTATGATTTCCTTCTCAGAAAGTTCATTATAGGTATATAACAAGGCTGCCAGTGGAGCAGGCGTTGTGGTGCAGCAGGTTAAGCCACCACTTGGGACACCCACATTCCATATTGGAGTGCCTGGTTTGAATCCCAGCTACTCTGCTTCTGATGCAGCTTCCTAATAATGTGTCTGGGAAGGCAGCAGATGATAGCTCAAATACTTAGGCCCCTATCACCCATGTGGGAGACCAATATGGAGTTCCTGGATTCTGGCTTCAGCCTGGCCTAGACCTGGCCTAGACCTGGCCTAGACATGGCCTAGACATGGCTGTTGGGGTAGTGAACCAGCAGGTGGAAGATCTTTCTCTCTGTCTCTGCTTTTTGCTCTCTTTCACTCTGCTTTTTAAATAAATAAAACTTTTTAAATGCTATTCATTTTTCTTGGTGATTTGGTGTCCTCCAACTTTACAAACTTTTTTGTTTATTATTTCTTTTTTAAAAAAGATTTATTTATTTATTTATTTGAAAGTCAGAGTTACACAGAGAGAGAAGGAGGGACAGAGAGAGAGAGAGAGGTCTTCCATCTGCTGGTTTACTTCCCAATTGGCCCTGACAGCTGGAGCTGCACCGATCTGAAGCCAGGAGCCAGGAGCTTCTTCCAGGTCTACATGGGTGCCGGGGCCCAAGGACTTGGGCCATCTACTACTGCTTTCCCAGGCCATAGCAGAGAGCTGGATCAGAAGTGGAGCAGCCAGAACTTGAGCCAGCACCTATATGGGATGCCAGCATTGCAGGCAGTGGTTTTAACTGCTATGCCACAGCGCCAGACCCATCTGTTTATTATTTCTAACATTCTTTTGGTGGGATATTTAGGTGTTTCTGTACATTGAATTATATCATCTACAAATATGTATATTTTGACTTTGTCTTCCTACATGCCTTTTAGTTTTTTCTCTTGCCTAATGAATCTGGCCAAAGCTTCCAGTGTGGTAGTGAATATAAGTACTGAGAGAGGACATTACATTGTGTCATTCTGGATCTTAGAGAACTTGCTTTCAGCTTTTCCCCATTCAGTGCAATGTTGGCTATCAGTTTTTCATCTATAGCCTTTATTATTGAGGTACACTCTTCATAAACCTAATTTGTTCGGAGTTTTCATTATGAGTTGATTGGATTTTACTGAGTGCTTTTTCTGTTTCTATTAAGATCATCAGGATTTTATCCATTACTTTGATGTGGTATATAATTGATTGACGTTGTTTCCATCATCCTTGCATCCCCAAGATAAATCCCATTTGATTGTGATGAATGATCCTTTTGATGTGCTGCTGGAATCATTTGTTCATATCTTGTTGAGGATTTTTGTTATCTATATTCAATACATGTTCCCCCTGTTAATGTACATATTGACACATCAGCTGCCTGGTCCTATTTTGCATTCTCTTTAAGCTTTATCTGTTCAAAGAAGCTTCTAGAATGCACTGTTGGAGAATATATACTATTAACATGCAATCAATGAAAATCTGGGATTGGAGTTGCTATTTCTCTACGGACTGTGCCATCCCGGAGAATGATTCTGATAAAGAGGGACACATTTGGTTGGACTGACCTACTAATTATTTTGAATGTGTCTTATGATAATATAAAATTATTTTGTGTGCTAAAAAAAAAGAATCAGACTTACCCCTCAACATATACGCTGAGTAAAACATCAAAGCAAAAAAAGAGTGCAATAGCCAAAGAAGCTGAACGCAATTCCAAAACCATTGTGTTTTCGTTGAAAAGTACATCTGACATGATGAGAAATATATCCACAAATATGAGTAGAATTCCAAATACTCTATAATAAATAAAATATAAATAATGATTATGCAGATAGATTTTTGCTCTAAAGTTAGACTATATTTAGTTTAATAATCAGATAGCAATATGTAATTATTTAAAATTAAATGTCAAATTAAAGGAAGGACCATGTTGCCTCAGAATTTCAAAAAAATTATTCAGTTTTCACCCAACCAAAGCAGTAGCTGGTGAATAAAATTCGCACTAGCCTATTTTACAACATGTTACCGTGTCTTTTTATAGGATGCATATCAGACTGACTCCTCAAGACACAGCAGGAAAACAATATTAGAATTATATGTCTCTGGCCGGCGCCGCGGCTCACTAGGCTAATCCTCTGCCTAGCGGCGCCGGCACACCGGGTTCTAGTCCCGGTCGGGGCGCCGGATTCTGTCCCGGTTGGCCCTCTTCCAGGCCAGCTCTCTGCTGTGGCCAGGGAGTGCAGTGGAGGATGGCCCAGGTGCTTGGGCCCTGCACCCCATGGGAGACCAGGAAAAGCACCTGGATCCTGGCTCCTGCCATCGGATCAGCGCAGTGCGCCGGCCGCGGCGGCCATTGGAGGGTGAACCAACGGCAAAGGAAGACCTTTCTCTCTGTCTCTCTCTCTCACTGTCTACTCTGCCTGTAGATATAATACATTAGAGACACCCAAAAAAGAATTATATGTCTCTGTTTGTAAATTATGCTTGTAACTTGAGAATTTCATAAGGAGTAGCTATGAATTTCCCATAAAATTTAAACCTTATTAATCTGGAGAATATTTAAGAATTTGGTAATAAAAACCAAGTGTGGGCATATTTAGCATCAAGGTCTTCAAAGACAACTTTGACTAGTTAATTTTTTTATCAGTATTTGTTTCAACAGTACATATTCATGGGTGCTTCTGACCCAGTAATTCTCACATAAAAAATAATTTAATTATATCAGTATTTTGATTGTTGAACTTTAAAGTGCCTCCTACATCTTTTTCTTATAAATTCTAAACACATTCCTTAGAAATTGATTATATTATTAGCAGTATGTGATGATGAATTAATCTTCAATGTACTTTGTGATAATTCCAACTTAAATGAGAATATTAATTTAAAAGGAATTATATTGTATTAATCTGTATGAAGTCTTCCTCTCCTCTGTGTACAGAAGAGGAACTAGTAAAATGGTTCCAAAATTAAAAAGTAATTCTAGTGTGTATGGTATTTAACAAAATGCCCTATGGAAATTTATCTTGTTTGCCGCATTATTTTCACTTGTACAGATAGAAAACATACCAGTATATTACTGTTAGATTTAGGCAAATACTAGTTCTTTGCAAGTCCTGATGTCCAGCTTAAGCCATAAATCCAAGACAAATTAGATTGTATAAAAGCAAAGCACATGGTATATTTAACAACATTTAAAAAAAAAACACATATAGTTTATGACTGCTTTAATACTGCAATAGCATAGTTATTTAACACCATATTAATGGTAAAATATTTTTGTTTTGTTTACATATAATTTTCCATTAGAATAATGATATTAAATATCATACATATTTAATTAAATTATTTTTAAAAGTATCACCTGAATGCAAAGGATGATACAATTAAGCGAGCAATGTTCTTTATCCTGCTGCTGCAAAAAGAAGGAAATACGCAATCAATCACAGATTTCCATTAAAATACATTATGATTTTAATTCAGGAAGGCACTTCACAATTTTACAAGAAAAATTTTCAGAAGTTGTAAAACAAAGTCCATTTTGCTAATAACTGAAATGTGTTTAGCTTTATGCAACATCAGGTTTTGTGTGTGAGTAGAACACTAAGCTGTGGATATTTAGTAACATTCCCCTTAGGTATAAAGCCCTGACTCTAACTAAATGGTAATAATAAATGTAGGGACATAAACTAATGTACATAGTATGGACAAGAAGAGAGTGGTAAGGTAGAACTGTTTTTCTCACATCAACTCTTACATGAATGAGCTAGGACATCATGGGCAGGTCACCAGATTCAGGATAGACCTCAGGATCCACAGCAGTAAGAGATTTCAGGGATGGGCATCAGGAATAAATGGTATTCTTATCCTATAATGTTCATTTGTTGCTACTGGATTCCCAGTGAACAGATAATCATTAATGAGAGCTACAGTTGGTGTTGCAAATGTACTTTGGAGGTAAGGAAGTTAGGCACATATTTCCAAGGAAAAATGTCCTAAAGACTGAGCGCCTTCCATTCATGACAGGAACAAAAGCCTGGTTGATGTAGTCTCTAGTGATGCTTCATTTTACCACATGGCTACAGACAAGGTAACTACTGGGGACCGATTTCCTACCCTGCTGAAACCTCCAATGCAAGACTCAAATTCCATCCCAAGTGGAATCAATCACAACACAGCTCTGACAGCCTGTGCCCAAAACTAGAGAATGGAGCGAACAGATACTGAGCAGAACTTAGGACATGGATGAATGTTGTTAGGTTAACCTTAAATATAAGAAAGCTCCAATACTTTTAATATCCCCTTAATCTACCTGCACCCACCTTTTCCACTCAAGCTTAAGGAGCTAAGACTTAGGTAGATGGGCAACTGATTGATTAATGAAGTAAAATTTACCTTGAGGTAGGCATCCTCTTATTACAAGCCCTTTCTGACTCCTGCAGTGCACTGGATCTCCAGGAAGCAAAGAATTGTTACAACCCTGAAATTGCTTAACAGTGTGGCCACAGAGAACCATGCTTGACAGAAACATGGAGGCACAAAGGAGTAGCTTGGAATGACACTAGCCTCTCTATTCTTTTTCTGCATCTTTTCAAAACTATCCAGAGTAAATATACAATTCAGACTATTTTGTTCTTATCAAAATATGCAATTTAAGTGCAGCTTCAAACAGTGTTGGAGGGAATGCAAATCGGATGCAAAATATGATGAATATTCCTCAGGAAACTAAAAATAGACCTGACATATGATCTTGCTATCACACCCCTGGAAATATATGCAAGGCAAATGAAATCAGTATATGAAAGAGGTAGCTGGACTCCCATGTTTATAGCAGCTCAATAATTGACAATAGCAAAAACATGGAAGCAACTCAGATATCCATCAAATGGTGACAGATAATGAAACTGTGATATAATTATATTTTAGTAAAATGTTTAGAAAAAGAAAATGTGGCACATATGCCTAATGGAATATCACACAGTCATAACAAAGAATGAAATCCAGACATTTGGAACAAGTGGATAGAACTGGAGATCATTAGATTATGTGAAATAAAGCAGACCAAGAAAAACAAATATCACATATTTTCTCTTATTTGTGGAAGTTAATATACAGGGAGAGTATAAAAATTGTGTGGCTATCATCATTTGACATATAGTTATAAATATTGCTTCTCTCATTCATACCATGTACATGACACTGTCTCCTTCTTTCTTCATATGTTGATCATGATCATAAATACCTGACTTTGTCATATTAATCTGTTTTCAAGAAAAAATAGTAGGAGCTGGGCTTTGGCACAGCAGGTTAAAGTCCCTGCCTGTAGCACTAGGATCTCATATGGGGGCCAGTTAAAGGCCTGACTGCTTGAATTCTGATCTGGCTCACTGCCAATGTGCCTAGGATAGCAGCTGAGGATGCCTGCAACCACCTGGAAAACCCAGAGGAAGCTCCGGGCTCCTAGCTTCAGATCTCCTCAATGCTGGCCGATGTGATCATTTGGGAAGTGAACTAGTGAATGAAAGGCCTCTCTCTCTGTTTCTACCTCTCTCTGTGACTCTGTCTTTGAAAGAAATAAAATAAAACTTTTAAAAGAAGAACAAATAGTATATATGTGTGTGTGCATAATCTCCACATATGAAATGAATGTGGCAAAAGGTTAACAATAAATTTTCAAGCTGAAAAATAATAAACTTATAAAATAGAAAGGTACCTACAGATAAAAGGAGACTTTAGAAAAATGTCAAAGACATGCTGTATTGTCACTGATGCTGCTGACAATGAAATTATCAAATCTCCATCTCTCTGGGTATGTATGTGTGAGTGTGTGTGTGTGTGTGTGTCTACTTACATGTGTATTGGTTTACATATACAAATATAGTTGTTTATAGAGAGCTCACGTTTCATCGACGCCTTCATCAACAGATATTGCTGTTGACTCACTTAAGGTGGTGCTGGAGGATTAAAAATGTGTATATCAGATACAACATAATTTCCTAGATTTTATCTTAGTTCAATTAGTTACAGTTACTCATTAACTTATAAACTGGTTTATCTTTAAAAAATTTTCAAAAAGTTTAACTGTAGACAGGTCAAAAAGTTAACTACTACAGATTTAAGTATAGTTGTTTACAGTTGAACCTAACCACAATTTGTAACAGTATTTATTTCAAAATTCACCCTGAGTTTGCAGGTACCTATTTCTCTTGCTCCATCCAATTTCATGATTCTCAAGTACAGTCACCATCTCAATCTCCATGATCATAACATCTCTACAGCCCCTCAGGTAAGGTCAAGCAGACCTGAAGTGGCAGCTCCTTTTAACATGATGGTGTGTTTGTGGGTAGGCACCAGCCTCACATGGTGGCACAGCTCTGGAGAGTGAAGGATACATCCAGGATGCATTAGCTTTATTCTTTTCTGCTGAGGGCACCTCAGCTGCTGTCATTGCCACTTCCTTGTTCCATCCCGATGGCTTTCTCTGCAGCCTTGGCCTGCTCTAGTAAAGTGTCATACTTTCTGATACTTTCCTAAAGGTTTTGGCTGCTACAAACTAAGGGTGAAGTAAGCAGTAACAAGAGAAGTAGGTGAAGTAAGAAGCAAGAACAAGAGAAGTAGGTGAAGTAAGAAGCAAGAAGACTCCCTTCTCAAACTATCATTATTGTTTTTATATGAAGATTAAAAACAAAGAGTATTACATACATAAGCTTCCCATGAAAAGAACATTAGGAATGGCATGGAAGGAACTCTGTATTCCCATGGATGCTCCTGACAGTGACTATCCCAAATTCTCTCTCTCTCTCTCTCTCTCTCTCTCTCTCACACACACACACACACACACACACCCCAGTTCATTTATATCTTATTACCTTGTGCATTCACTTGGGGATGTTTTCAAGTCTGACTGGACAGTACTAGAGGATTAAAAAGGTACATAGTAAGATGCCATGTGACTTGCGTAATTTGCTGTTTTACTTAAAAATGGTTACAATAACCCTTCAACTTATAAACTGGCTGACCCTTAAAAACTTCATATATAAATTAATTATTTGGAATAGAATATACCATGTTCCTTAAAAATGATAATTTATATCACTGTATTAAGTACTTTAGTCCTGTCAAAAATGTAATGGTTCAGTATTAAAGTGCAGTTTCTTACTACTGAATCTGAAGCAATGTGTAAAAACCTTCTGTGATGGAATTTATTTGAAATTCAACTTTAGGATGCTTATTGCACCTAAAGCCCTGCTTCCTAAGCCCCTCCTTCACTCCTTACTTTAATTCATCAGGGTGATCTTGCTTCCCTTTAGACAGGGTCTAGTAGCTGGTAGCATGAGTCAGGGTTCCCTCCAATATGCTGTTATTTTTAGCTTCAGGGTACCTGCCTTACTAGGATGAGGGACACATCCAGGCTCCATTACCACCTCCCCTTTCTGCTGAAGATTTATCTGCTCCCTCCCCTTTTCTCCAAATATGACCTTTTCCTACTTTCAGCCAGTCCAATAAGTTCTCACACAGAGGATTCTGAAGATATCCTGATAGTTTGGCCAGTGATGCCCAGGGTATGAATAACATAGGGAAGAGGAAGCATTCATCTTGTAACATTATTCTCTCCTATCCAATCCACCCCAAAAGAAAGGTGCCTACATAGGCTACAGAGAGACTAGTCAGAAACACTGTCAAACTATGAGAAACAGTGATTTGATCAGCTCTTGTCCTGACTGTTGATGTACAATGTAATACTTTATCCATTTTAGTATTTTTTTTTATCTAGTACTATTGGTTGAACTCTGTGATTAACACACAATTATTCTTAGGTGTTTAAATTTTAACTGAAAAGTGATCCCTGTTAGGAATTTGGAAAACATTATGCTGAGTGAAATAAGCCAGTCCCAAAGGGACAAATATCATATGTTCTCCCTGATAGGTGACAACTAACTGAGCACCAAAAAGGTGCTCATTTCACCTGTTAAAGTGAAATGAACACTGTGAGAAATTGTGACTTGATCAGCCCTTGCCCTGACTGTTGATGAACAACTTAATATGTTGTCCCTCTTAGTATTTTTTTGTTTATTCTACTTAATACTTTTGGTTGAATACTGTAATCAATACACAGTTATTCTCAAGTGTTGAAACTTAACTGAAAAGTGATCGCTGTAAAATATAAGAGTGGGAATAAGAGAGGGAAGAGATGTGCAATTCGGGACATGCTCAAGCTGACTTGCCCCAAACGGTAGAGTTAGAAACATACCAGGGGATTCCAATTCAATCCCATCAAGGTGGCATGTACCAGTGCCATCTCACTAGTCCCAGTGATCAATTTCTGTTCACAATTGATCATAATGATAGGACTTAGAGCCAAAGGGAGCACATAAACAAGACTAGTGTCTGCAAATACTAGCTGATAGAAAAAAAAAAAAAAAGGGAAGAGAACGATCCAACATGGGAAGCGGGATACACAGCAGACCCATAGAATGGCAGATGTCCTAAATAGCACTCTGGCCTCAGAATCAGCCCTTAAGGCACGTGGATCTGGCTGAAAAGCCCATGAAAGCATTACAGGCATGGAAAGCCAAAATACTCTGGCAAAAAAAAAAAAAAAAAAAAAAAAAAAAAAAAAAAAAAACCTAAATGAAAGATCTCCGCGAGTGAGATCCCAGTGGAAAGAACAGGTCATCAAAGAAGGAGGTACCTTTCTCTGAAGGGAGGAGAGAACTTCCACTTTGACTACGACCTTGTCTAAAAATGATCAGAGTCGGTGAACTCAAAAGGCTTCCATAGCATTGGCAACTCATGACAAGAGCCTAGGGAGATTACTGATGCCATAAACAAGAGTGTCAATTTGTTAAGTCAACAACAGGAGTCACTGTGCACTTACTCCTCATGTAGGATCTCTATCGTTAATGTGCTGTACATTGTGATTTAATGCTATAACCAGTACTCAAACAGTATTTTTCACTTTGTGTTTCTATGTGGGTGCAAACTGTTGAAATCTTTACTTAATATATGCTAAACTGATCTTCTGTATATAAAGAGAAATGAAAATGAATCTTGATGTGAATGGAAGGGGAGAGGGAGCGGGAAAGGGGAAGATTGTGGGTGGGAGGGAAGTTGGGGGGGGGGAAGCCATTGTAATCCATAAGCTGTACTTTGGAAATTTATATTCATTAAATAAAAGTTAAAAAAAAAGAAACACTGTCAAGGATGCTATATACCATATACTTTTCTGACTATGAACTTCCCAAATCTCCATCTCTTTCATTATCTATGTATAGATATGAATGCTTGCATATACGTATAAATGTATATATTTATATGTTTATGTATGTTTATATATTTTTATTATATATATATCACTTCACTTTAGCTCTATAACCATGTAGTGTTTCATGTTCATATATATAAAGTCCTGTTGGATTTTAACACATATAGTCAGAACTCTTTATGACTTTCTAGGTTTAACTTTTGGTCTTAAAGGTTTATATATTTTGTGTATTTTTTCCAAAAATCAGTTTTTCTTTTTGTTGATCTTTTGTATTTTCCTTTTTTTAAGATTTTATTTATTTATTTAACAGGCAGAGTTACAGACAGTGTGAGAGAGACAGAGAGAAAGGTCTTCCTTCCATTGGTTCACTCTCCAAGTGACTGCTACAGCCAGAGCTGTGCCAATCCAAAGCCAGGAGTCAGGTGCTTCTTCCCAGTCTCCCATGCAGGTGCAGGGGCCCAATACTTGGACCATCCTCCACTGCTTTCCCAGGCCAAACTAGAGAGCTGGACTGGAAGAGGAGCAACCGGGACTAGAACTGGCACCCCTATGGGATGCCAGCATCGCAGGTGGAGGATTAACCTAGTGCTCCATGGCGCCGGCCCCATCTTTTCTTTAGTTTCCATATCATTTTTTTTTTTTTTTGCACTTCACTTATTTCTGCTCTGAACCTTAATATTTCTTGGCTCCTTTTAATTTGGGATTTGGTTTGCTCTTATTTTTCTAAGTCCTTAAGATTTCACATTAGATTCTTTATTTGATATCCTTCTTTTTTGAAATATAAGCATTTAAGCACTGATGCCAGATGAAAAGATGGTAGACATGCAACCAGCCATAACATGTTTTCAGAGCACTCGAGAGGTGACTTTTCCAGGGATGTTAGCTTTTTGTTCCTCTTTTTTGCTTAAGGTTCCTTTGCTCCCTCTTCACTACTCTTTGTTCCAAATAATACTGAGTGCCCCAACCCCCTATGCTTGGCCCACTTTACTAAAATCTCATACACAAAACATTTGAGTTTCCTAAGTGTTTTCCTGTGACTAATGGTGATAATACACTAACAGGAAGAAGCATCTTCCATGATCTATTTTTCTTTTATCCAGTACAATCTTTGAAAGATGGAAATTTACCTACAGATGGTCTAGTGTGAAGGTCTCACTCTCCATTGCTGTGGCTTCTCCTGACTGTGAAGTTCCTATATCTCTTTTTTTAAAGATTTATTTATTTATTTGAAAGTCACAGTTACACAGAGAGAGGAGAGGCAGAAAGAGAAAGGTCCTCCATCCAATGGTTCACTCCCCAGATGGCTGCAACAGCCAGAGCTGTGCCAATCTGAAGCCAGGAGCCAAGAGCCTCTTCCTAGTCTCTCACTTGGGTGCAGGGCCCAAGGACTCAGGCAACCCTCTACTGCTATCCCAGGCCATAGCAGAGAGCTGGACAGGAAGTGGAGCAGCTGGGTCTCGAACTGGCACCCATATGGGATGCCAGCGCTCAGGCCAGGACGTTAACCCACTGCACTGCAGTACCATCCCCAGTTCCTATATCTCAATCTCCACCTATCTGTGTGTATGTGTGAGTCCATAATCAATGGATGTGTGTGTGTGTGTGAGATAGAGTGTGTATGTATGTAGAAGTTATATATCTTATCCATCTATTTGTATTTATTTTTTCTCAGAAACCTTTTATTTAAGAAATACTAACCATATATTTCATAATTACAGCTTCATAGATAAGGTAATTCTTCCCACTGTACCCACCCTCCTACCCAGTCTCCCACCCCTCTTTCTCCTCCCTTATTTTTTTAACTAAAATCTATTCAATTAGCTTTACACACATATGATTAACTCTATGTTAAGAGTTCAACAAATAGTTGAAAAAACCTGTTCCTTCTGTAATTATTTGTTAATGTATCTTTATGTATTCATTTATGTCTCACATTTCATTGATAACTTCACCAAAAGGTGCTGGTCCACGTGAAGGAGAGCTAAAGAATTTAAAATACATATAATCAGATGCCACTTAACTTCCTAGGCTTAACTTTTTGGCTCAAATTAGATATAATTTATATACAATTCATAATTCTTCTGCTTATTGCAGGAGAAGAGTCAATATACGGAATCAAACTAAATATCTATCAATAAATAAATAAAGTAAATGTGGTATATAGATATATACACAAAAGATGGCTACTTAGCATTTAAAAATATAAATCTTGTCATTTGCAATGACATTAATGGAACTAGAAATATATTAAATGAAAAAGCTGGTCCATAAAGACAAATACAGTAAAACCTCATTAATACATAGAATCTAAAGACGTCTAGTTCATAGAGGTAAAGAGTAGAATAGTGCTTATCTGAGAACTGAGAAGGTAGGTGGGAATGGGGAAGAGTATCTCAGCAAGTTAAAAGTTACAGTCAGAGGGTGTGGTATTATGGCACAGTGAGGTTAAGCCGCTGCTTGTGACACCCACGTGGCATATTGGAGCACAGTTGAGTCCAAGCTACTTGACGTCCAATCCAGCTTCCTGCTAATGTGCATATGAAAGCAACGTAAGATGACTGAAGTGTTTGGGCTCCTGCCACCTATGTAGGAGTGAAAGGGTTCCTGGATTTTTACCTCAACCTGGCCCAGACCTGGCTTTTGTGGACGTTTGGAGAGTAAACATGGATGGAAGATTTTCTCTCTCTCTCTCTCTCTCTCTCTCACTTTCTCTCTCTCTCTGTCTGTCTCTCTCTGTCTCTGTCATGCTCTTCATATGAATAAATAAATCATTTTTTAAAAAGATTACAATTATCAGGAATAAGTATTTTGGGTTTTTTTGGTTTTTTTTTTTTTTGACAGGCAAAGTTAGTGAGAGAGAGAGACAGAGAGAAAGGTCTTCCTTCCATTGGTCACCCCATAAATGGCTGCCACTGCCAGCGCACTGCGCCGATCTGAAGCCAGGAAGCAGATGCTTCCTCCAGGTCTCCCATGTGGATGCAAGGCCCAAGCACTTGGGCCATCCTCCACTGCCTTCCTGGGCCTCAGCAGAGAGCTAGACTGGAAGAGGAGCAACTGGGACAGAACCGGTGCCCCAACTAGGGCTAGAACCCAGGAATAAGCTTTAATATTCTATTGCAAGTAGGCTTATTACTGTCAATGATAATACATCATATATTTCAAGATAGTTAGAGGAGAGAACTTTAAATGGTTCAGCATAAGGAAATAATATGTATATTAATGAATGTTATTGGCTCTGATGTGCTGATTATATGAAATATAATGCATTGAAGCATCGTATTGTACCCTGTGAATCTATACAATTTAAAAATGTGTTAAAGGCCTTCATTGTGGCATAATATGTTCAGCCATCATCTGCAACACTAGCAACACATACAAGTACTGGTTCTCCCTCTCTTTCTGTAATTCTTTTCAACTAACTAAATAAATTTTTTAATTTAAAAATATAAAAATATATAAGCATTTAAAATGCATTTGTATTTCTGAGGGAGGGAAGGAGAGAAAGAGAGAGAGAGAGAGAGAGAGATCGTTCATTTGCTTGTTTAATCCTCACACGTTTGCAACAGCCAAGGTTGGGACCCGCTAAACCCAGAAGCTCAGAACTTATTCTAGTTCTCTCACATGGGCTGTGGGGACTTAAATACTTGAGCCATCACCTGCTGCCACTCAGGGTATACATTAGCAGGAAGCTAGAATTGGGAGCAGAGTAAGGACTGAAGCCCAAGCACCTTGATTTGGGATGCAAGCATCTCAATCAGCATCCTAACTGCTCCACCAATTGTCAGTCTCTGTGCATTAAAAAAATACTCTACTTGTCATAGAAGCTCCTGAAAGTGAGACTCGGAAATCTCAGTCTCCCTGTGTCATTGCCTTATGTTTTTTAGTGTGTGAGTATATGTGCATGTGTCTTTGTGTATATGGGTAAATACATCTACTCACATTTCATTGGTTACTCTGTCATGGGTTACTTTTGTTGCTTCACTCAGATTTGGGATAAAGGATTAAAATGGTACATGTTTCTTTTTGGGTCTATGAGATTTGATCTAATGTATCTTTTTTATTTTTATTTTTATTTTATTTTTTGACAGGCAGAGTGGACAGTGAGAGAGAGAGAGACAGAGAGAAAGGTCTTCCTTTTGCCGTTGGTTCACCCTCCAATGGCCGCCCCAGCCCCTCGCACTGTGGCCGGCGCACTGCGCTGATCCGATGGCAGGAGCCAGGTACTTATCCTGGTCTCCCATGGGGTGCAGGGCCCAAGCACTTGGGCCATCCTCCACTGCACTCCCTGGCCACAGCAGTGAGCTGGCCTGGAAGAGGGACAACCGGGACAGAATCCAGCGCCCCGACCGGGACTAGAACCCGGTGTGCCGACGCCGCAAGGCGGAGGATTAGCCTAGTGAGCCTAATGTTTCTTTAATATTCATGTGCTATCACCAATTTGGATTGGGTGCACTCAAAATTAGATTGAGTTTTAATAGAACAGTACTGAATATCCTAGATTTGTGAAATAGTAATACATGAGACTAAGTAAGAGACCTATTACATTTTTTAAAAATTATTTTCACTTTTTTTTAAAAGGAGAAAAGAATGTGAACTTTCCCATCCCGCTGGTTCATTTGCCAAAAAGGCCACAAAAAGCAGGAGCTGGGACCAGGGCTGAAAGCCAGGAGCCCTGAAAAGTCCCATCTGGGATTTTCTCATGGGGGGTTCCGGGGACTCATGGTATTTTGAAGCCATCCACCTGCCCACCTCTCAGGGTGGCAGATTTTTCAGGAAAGCTGGGTTGAAAATAGAGGGGCCTCTGACTCTAACTAGGCACTCCAATATGCAATGTGAGCTCCCCACTATGAGATGAGAGTGTCTCAAATTGACAAATGCCACCTCATGTAAGTAGGTCTTCATGCTAAAATATAATCCTCATTTGCTATGAAACCTGCTTGAAGTTTAATTTCTGTTTTTAGGTCCCTATACTTTTGCTCCTTCAAATTTCTTGATTCTCCATTCCCTCCATTACATCTTTAATTTCACCTATCATGGTTGTATTTCTTGCCCAACGGATAGGTTTGAGAAGCTGCAGCCCTGAAGCAGGGACTCTATCCAGTGTGAGGATGTGTGTGGGTTTGGAGCATCAGCTTTGTATGGAGGCAGAGCTGTAGAGGAGAAGGGATAGACCAGCATCTCATTAGCTGAGGATTCCTCTGCTTTCTGCTCACTGCTACCTCCACCTTGCTTCAAACAGGATTCGCTCCTTCCTTTCACTCCAGTACAGTCTCTGCCTGGTAACCAAAGGTAATAAACAGTAGGAATAAGAAGTTCCCCTCTGTAAGTTGTTCTTTTTTCTACCTTAATCCCAAAGACAAAAATATTCCACACTGAAGCTTACCATGAGAGGAGGGTAGAAGCGACCCTATTACAAGGAAACCCCATTACATGGATGCTCCTGACAATGAATAATCAAAATCCCAGATTTCTGTGTGCTCTGTGTGAATGCATGATTTGCATGCATGTATGTATGTCTATAGAAAGACAGAAACAGAGAAAGGCAGACAGACAGACAGACATAAATGTTTATTTATTCATTTATATCTTACATTGCTTTGGTTTTTCTCCCTGAGGATTCTGACTCATACAGGACATTGCTAAAGGATTAAAAAGGTACACAGTGAGATACCATATAACATCTTAGACTTACTTTTTAAGCTTAAAATATTTACAGTTACTTTTTAATTTATCAACTAGTTGTCCCCTGAACAAGTCACCTGTAAATCAGTTATTAGTTCTTCCCTCCATCACCTCTCCTTACTTTCACCCATCAACAGTTGTTTTTCTTCCTGTGAGGTATAATCAAGTATCGGCGTGCCTGGGATCAGAGTTCCATCCAATGTAATGGTGAGTTTGGATTTTGGCACCAGCCTTAGATGGTTGCAGAGATTCGGAGGGTGAGGACTCCCCCAGGTTCCATTAGTTCTGTTCTTTTATGCTGAGGGCTCTGCTGCTTGCTGTCCACTGCTACCTCCAACTTATTTCAAAAAGTAGTCTCTCTTCTCTTCACCAAATCTGATAGCATCTCATACACAAGGACTCTGACAGTTTCCCAAGAGGTTGGCTGCAACTAAGAATGATAAATATGCCAACAAAGAGAAGCACCCTCTTATGACAGATTCCTCTTTAACCAACTCAACCTAAGAAACACTGGAAAGCTACCAACAAATGTTACAGTGAAAAAATTTCAAGAGTATCAAGAGGTACCCTGTATTGCCAAGGAGGCACCTAAGAGTAATTTCACAAATGTTTATCTTTTTTTTGTTCACCTTTTCTATAGTGTGTTTTTGTATATGTGGGTTTCCAGAAGGATGTGTGGATACATATTTATTTTTCTGTGTGTGTGTGTTTTGTGTTTATGTGTGAGCTAAGGGATTTTAAGAGTATATAGTTGAAAATAAATTAATTAATTAAAAAAGAAAAATTTAAAAGAAAAAAGAGTATGCAGTTGAACCTGAGGTGTAATTCTAAATTTATTTTTATTTGGTCAGAAACCTATTATTACTCTACATAAACTGGTTGATCCTTAAATTTCATGTGTACATCACGGTTTGAACTCAGCCTGTCATTTTTGTTAGAAAGAGGCTTTCTATGACGGTAATCAGTACCTTAGTCCTGAAAATATCTGCTTCAAGATTTATGTAAAGCTCTTTTTTATTACTCTAGTCCCAGTGAGGGTCAGCCTTTTGTGGTAGAATTTATTTCAAATTCCACTTCACTTTGAGGCACTATCATCTCACCAAATTTCTGATTCTCAAATCCCTCCATTGCCTCCCTACTTTCAAATCTGTGTCTTTCTTATCCGTGAGATATGGACATGGTAAAGTAACTCTAGGCCTAAGTCAAAATCATAATGCGTTTCAGAATGGGTTTGGGTCACCAGTCCCACGTGGTAGAAGACTTTCCTGCAGGATTCACTGTTACTAAGAATGACAAATATACAGACTGCAAGAATCATGCCACTCACAACTGTCCTCTCGTCCAGTGTGATCTAAAAAAATAGAAAATTCACTACATTTCTGACAGTGAGAACATTTAGATGATGCCAAAGTTATCATCAGTTGTCAAGGATACTCCCAAGAGTAGACTTACAAATTTCAACCTAATTTTCCTTTTTGTGGTCTTATTTGTGTGTGTTTTGAAAGAAATACATTTGTGTATAAACATACATAGGGTACTGCTAATCGTTAGTTTTTCAGAAAACAGAATTAAAATTAACTATGAATTTTGGAAATGCATTCATAGTTTTATAATAATATTCATATTCTAAAAACTTTCAAAGATCTCTCTCTGCTTGAATTTCAGCATAAGCTTTGATTTTAATTCCATTTTCATGAAATTTCTGAAGTTCTCTCCTATATCTAGTCATGAATGTGCATACATGGGCTTGGTATTACATATATATATCTTTTAACATTTATTTATAACTCACATGGTATTGGGTACCTCCTCATGAGTGTCTGATGCCAATTCTTCTGTATTTAGTCTAAAGGATTGAAAAGTAAATAGTGATATACCATAGGTTATGAGATCTTATCTTTTTGTGTCAACTAATTACATTCCTTCTAAAAACTGATATACATACATATATCACTGTTTTTGAATTGGCTTTTTAAAAATTAGAAATGAAGTTCTTTGTGGTGAAAATGAATATATTAGGCTTGTGAAGGCTGTAATATACAGATTTAAGAACCTATTAACACCAACTTGTAAGAGTCTTTTGAAGGGGCATTTATTTCAATCTCAACTACGTTTTATCGGTATACATCTCACTTACCATGTCTAGATTCCTCTCTCTTATATCCCTCTTTCCGCTCTTTATTTTCACCAATCATAGTTGTCTTCCTTGAGTATCAAATAGAATCAAGTGACTATGCATTTGGAGTGTAAAAGATTTTTGCCATGCTCCTCACTACAAAGTTCCCAAATCTCAATCTCCTCCCTTTCTCCATGTGGATATGTGAGTATCAGTGTTTGTCTGAATATATATATGTGTGTGTGTGTGTGTTTGTGTGCACACACACACATGTGTTTATATACATATATTGCACCTATTTTATATATAATTAACATATATTATTTTTCACTTGTGTGTATTTATACATATACCTTATTGTTATATTTATATCTTACATTTCACTGATAGCTCCTTCCCAGGAAGTTGACGTGAATTCATATACTGTGGTGCTAAAGAATATAAAATTCAAGTAGTTAGATACCAATGTGACTTCCTGGACTTCACTTTCAGTTCAAACTGCTGTATAATTTGTATACTAGTTGACATCAATTTACATTTAAGTTGGTTATTTGGAAACTTACATATCACTCTTCCAAGGAAATGAACATTATTTGTTTATAATGAGTATCATTAAATGACTCAAGATTCTTGTTCAGGACTGGTGCTGTATTGTAGTGGGTTAAGTTACCACCTGCAGTGCCAGCATCTCATATGTGTGCCAGTTCGAGTCTCAACTGCTCCACTTCCAATCTAACTCTCCACTAATGTGCCTGGGAAAGCAGCATAAAAGGTGGACCAAGTCCATGATGGAAACCCAGATGAAGCTCCAGGTTCCTGGCTTTGGACCTGCCCAGCTCTGGCCCATTGTGGCCATTTGGAGAGTGAACTTTCTTTCCCTCCCTCTCTCTCCACACTCTATCTTTCATATAAATATAATAAATTGGGGCCAGCACTGTGGTGTTGTGGGCTAAACCTCTGCCTGTGGTGCTGGCATCCCATATGGGCATCAGTTCTTGTCCTTCTTGCTCTACATCTGATCCAGCTCTCTGCTATGGATTGGGAGAGCAGCAGAAATTGGCATAAGTGCTTTGGACCCTACATTTGCATGGGACACCTGGAAGAAACTCTTAGCTCCTGGTTTCACATTGGCTCAGTTCAGGCCATTGCATTCATTTGGGGAATGGACCAACAGATGGAAGACTTTTCTCGCTGTCTCCCCCTCTCTCTGTGTGTAACTCTACCTCTCAAATAAATTAATAAATAATTTAATATTTTTGAAAAATAAAAATGAGTAAATAAAATAAATCATATTTTTTATAAAAAGATTCCTGTTCAATTTGTTAGTGTTGAAACTAACAGAGCTCTGGAGAGTGAGGGACTCTTCCAGGATTGTTAGCTCTACTTTTGGTCCCTCCTGCCCGAAAAATTTCTCTGCTCCCTGTCCACTGCTACCTTCTTCTGGCACCAAAAAGGATTCTTTCCTCCTTCTGTCCAATCCAGAAAGTTCTTTTTTTAATATGATTTTTTTAAGATTTATTTATTTGAAAGTCAGAGTTACATACAGAGAGAAGGAAAGGCAGAGAGAGAGAGGGGGAGTGAGAGAGAGAGAGAGAGAAGTCTTCCATCCACTGGTTCACTCCCCAGATTGCCGCAATAGTTGAGCTAGGCCAACCCAAAGCCAGGAGCCAGGAGCTTCTTCTGTGTCTCTCATCTGGGTGCAGGGGCCCAAGGACTCGGGCCATCTTCTACTGCTTCCCCAGATCATCAACAGAGAGCTGGATTGGAAGTGGAGCAATCAGGACTCAAACTGGTGCACATATGGGGATGCCGGCATTGCAGGCAGTGGCTTTATTTGCTATGCCACAGTGCCGGCCTTGCAGTAGTCTTATAAAAAATTAAATCATACTTAAAAAGTTAAATCTGGTAAGCCTTGGATGACTACTACTTAGACAAGATCCTAACAGGAATAAGGATGTGTCTTATAACATGTAGCTCCTTTATCCAACTTGACCTAAAAAAGAGTTACCTACAGATTCTCCACTGAGAAAATTAAAAAATAGTGACATATGTTGCCATTGATATCCTTGTCAGTGAATCTCAAAAACTCCACTCTTCTGTCATTCTTTCCTTTGTGTGTGTGTGTGTGTGTGTGTATGCTTGTGTGTATTGCAATATATGTGTATAATTTAATATTGTGTGTATATGTTGACAGGAGGATTTCCATACACATATGCATATATATACATATACATATACATCTTTAAGTGTTTATTTTATAACTCACGTTTCATTAGTGACTCCATCAAAGGCTACTGGCATCAGGTCATTAGAGGATGGGCTAAAGAAACATGAGAGTACATAGTCATACACAACACATAATTCTAAACTATTTTGAGGGTCACATAGTTAAAACTGTGGTACTACCCACGAACTGATTGACATTTAAATGCACTTGTATAAATCACTAATTTGAAATTGGTAGGTCTTTTTAAAAATTAGCAATAAGGGTTTATATACCAGTAATAAATATCTCAGGTCTATGAAAATAGATGTATATCCAGAGTGAAGTAACTATTATATTAATGCCAAGCTGTGAAAGTACTTTAGGGTTCCATTTCTGTCAGATTTCACTGTAAGTTACAGGAAACGTCCCTTTTACCCTACTTATATTTCTGATTCTCAAGTCCCTCACTTCCTTACTTCCATGCAACATTGTCCCTGTTGCCCATGCCATATGGTCAAGTAGCTGCAGGCCTGAGTCAGGGGCTCCCTCCTAAGCCTTACTGAGTGGGGGACACCAGCCTTATGTGGTGGCAGAGTTTGGAAGATGAGGCACAAATCCAGGTTCCATTAGCCCTGGTCACTTCTGCTGAGGGCACCAGAGTTCCCTGACAACTACTTCCTCCTCTTTCTCCAAATGGAAATCTCTCCTTCTTCAGCCCACTCTAGCAGAGAGCCACAAATGGCAAAACTGAGTTTCCTAAAGGACTGTTTGTCCCAAACTAAATAAAAGTTACAAAGATACTGACTGGAAGAGGCATGCCTTTCATGACTTCTTTTGTTACCAAATTTGACCTAAGAAAAACAAAAAGTTCTCTACAGGTATGGAAATGTTCTCAAGGACCCTCCTCACAGTAAGTTTCACAAAACTCAACTGTTTTCTTTCATTGTATTATGTTTCTACATGTGTGGTATTGATAGAAATATCTAGGTGTGTATGAGAGCAATTAAAAATGTTCATGGTGGCTGGGGCCATGGTGCAGTAGGTAAATCCTTTGCCTGTGGTGCCAGCATCCTATGTGGGGGCTGGTTTGAGTCCCGGCTGCTCCGTTTCCAATCTAGCTCCCTTGCTATGGCCTGGAAAAGCAGTAGAAGTTGGCTCAACTACTTGAGCCCCTGCAACCCCATGGGAGACTGGGGAGAAGCACATGGTTCCTGGCTTTGTATCGGCGCAGCTTCAGCCATTGCAACCATTTGGGGAGTGAACCAATGGAAGGAAGACCTTTCTCTCTCTTTGTCTCTCCCTGTCACTGTCTGTAACTCTACCTCTCAAATAATTTTTTTAAAAGTCCATGAAAATGGAATTGATCAAGTCACCGTTTCTCATAGTGTTCATTTCACTTTAACAGGTTTCCTTTTGGTGCTCAGTTAGTTGTCACCTATCAAGGAGAACAAGTGGTATTTGTCCCTTTGGGATTGGCTTATTTCACTCAGCATAATGTTTTCCAAATTCCTAACAGGGATCACTTTTCAGTTAAAATATAAACACCTAAGAATAATTGTGTGTTAATTACAGAGTTCAACCAACGGTACTAGAACAAAAAAAAAAATACTAAAATGGATAAAGTATTACATTGTGCAGCAACAGCCCACACCCTGACTGTTGATGAGCAACTTGATATGTTATCCCTCTTAGTATTTTTTTTGTTTGTTCTACTTAATACTTTTGGTTGAATACTGTAATCAATACACAATTCTTCTTAAGTGCTGAAACTTAACTGAAAAGTGATCACTGTTAAATATAAGAGTGGGAATAAGAGAGGGAAGAGATGTGCAATTCGGGACATGCTCAAGCTGACTTACCTCAAACGGTAGAGTTAGAAACATACCAGGGGATTCCAATTCAATCCCATCAAGGTGGCATGTACCAGTGCCATCTCACTAGTCCCAGTGATCAATTTCTGTTCACAATTGATCATAATGATAGGACTAAGAGCCAAAGGGATCACATAAACAAGACTAGTGTCTGCAAATGCTAGCTGATAGAATCAAAAAGGGAAGAGAATGATCCAACATGGGAAGTGAGATACACAGCAGACCCATAGAATGGCAGATGTCCTAAACAGCACTCTGGCCTCAGAACCAGCCCTTAAGGCATGCGGATCCGGCTGAAAAGCCCATGAGAGTATTTCAGGCATGGAAAGCCAAGACACTCTGAAAAAAAAAAAAAAACTAAATGAAAGATCTCCGCGAGTATGATCCCAGTGGAAAGAACGGGTCATCAAAGAAGGAGGTACCTTTCTCTGAAGGGAGGAGAGAACTTCCACTTTGACCATGGCCTTGTCTAAAAATTATCAGAGTTGGTGAACTCAGGGGGCCTCCATAGCCTTGGCAGCTCATGACAAGAGCCTAGGGTGATTACTGATGCCATAAACAAGAGTGTCAATTTGTTAAGTCAACAACAGGAGTCACTGTGCACTTACTCCTCATGTAGGATCTTTGTCCTTAGTGTGCTGTACATGGAGATTTAATGCTATAACTAGTACTCAAAAAGTACTTTACACTTTATGTTTCTGTGTGGGAGAAAACTGTTGAAATCTTTACTTAATGTATGCTAAACTGATCTTCTGTATATAAAGAGAATTGAAAATGAATCTTGATGTGAATGGAAGGGGAGAGGGAGTGGGAAAGGGGAGGGTTCCGGGTGGGAGGGACGTTATAGGGGGGAAGCCATTGTAATCCATAAGCTGTACTTTGGAAATTTATATTCATTAAATAAAAAAAGAAAATGGAATTGAATGATAAGCTTATTATAATGCAAACATTTTTAAATACAGGCATAGTTATTTCATAACTTATATTTCCATTCATTTTGGTTTTAAAAAAGATTTAGTTGAAAGGCAGAGTGATGGAGAGAGAATAGGAGTGAGCAAGACAGAGAGAAAGAGAGAAAAAGAGAGAGAGAGAGAGAGATACCTGGCCTTTACTGATTCACTCCCTAAATGGCTTCAATGACTGCGGCTGGACCAGGCCAACATCAGGAGGCAGAAACTCTATGTCAGTTTCCCTTGTGGGTAACAGGGCCCAACACTGGGTCATCAGCCACATCCTTCCCAGATATATTAACAGGAAGTTGGATTGGAAGGGGTACAGCCAAGACTGGGACAAGCATCGTAATCTGTGATGCATTAGCTGCAAGTAATATCAACCTGCTGCACTACAATGTGGGCTGCTCCATGAGTTTTTTGATGATTATTCATCCACCCACCTAAACACATACACACATACCACATATGCATATACAGATAAATATATGTAATCTGACATAAATGCAACCCTTATAGATTAGGGATTAAAAGAATAGTTAAAATTTCATTCTGGATATATTTCTGTTTTAATAGTCCTGAGATATTCATTATTGTCATATGAAGCTTCATTTTTAATTTTCAAAAATACCTACCAAGTTCAAATTAGTGATATGCACATGTGTATTTAAATATCAGTCAGTTCACACGCAGTAGCTTAATTTTAAGGATTGTATACACTTACCTGTGTCTTGGGGAATTCATGTATACATACATACATATTGAATTTGTTTTTCACTCACTTGTCCCTGATGGATTCCACATCAGTAATGGATTTTGAGTCTTCTGAGTTTGAGCTAAGGGAATATAAAGATATATATAGTCAGAAATTACACAGGATTTTATCTTACTATTTTTGCTCAAATGACAACAGTTACTTTGAATGTGAACTGGTTAATCTTCAGATGGTCATGTTATATCACTGTTTGAGCTTGGTATGTATTTTTATTAGAAATGAATCTTTATGGGGTGTGGCTGGGACTTTGGGCAGTCACTCTGGGAGGCTCCACATGCTCAGGGATCCCAGGTTCCCTGGTGAGGGACATTGCTGGGGAATCTGAGCTTACACTGAGGACTGAACAGATCCTTGGTGTGTTCCTAGTGGCAGCATGGACAAATATTATACCCACTGGGGCTAGCGTCCAGGCACCAGTCTCATTTGAGAAGAGGTGAGCTGAGGCTATGTCAACAGAGCAGAAAAAATTTCCCCTCAGATTAAAAAAAAAAAGATTTTCCATGCCCAACCTGTGTGTCACTTTAGACACTCCCTTCACCCTGGAGTACTGAACAGAGCTCGCTGACCACAGCCACCATACACCTCTAGGTATTCACTGAAAAAATAGACACTCTGCTAATACAGAGGCATAATCCAAAGATAAAAGCCACCACAGCAAAAAGACAAAGAAACCAATGAGTATCTGCAGAAATGCTGAATAATAAATGCACCAATTCAAGAAACAAGAATAAGGAAAAAAGCATGATGCCTTCCAAAAGAATACAACACTTCAATACTAGAATATGAAGGTGAAGAGATTGAAGAAATGCCAGAACTGGAATTCAAAAAATTTATTGTATGATTACTCAGAAGTAATCAGAAGCAAATGCACAAACTAATGAAATCCATACATGAAATGAATGAAAATTTCTCCCATGAAATTGAGATCTTGAAGAGAAATCAAAATGAAATCTTGGAAATGAAGAATTCAATAGAACAAACAAAAAAATGCAGTGGAAAGCCTTAACAAGAGCATATGTGAACTAGAAGAAAGAATATCCAACTTAGAAGACAAATTGAAGGAAATTATACAGTCAGACCAAAAAGAACAAGAACAAATTGGAAAACTAAAAAGCACTGTTGGAAATCTACAAGATACTATCAAGTGATCAAGCATATGGGCCCTAGGAGTTCCTGAAGGCATGAAAAGAGAAAGTATTAGAAAGCCTTTTTCATTTAATAATAGAAAACTTCCCATTTTGGAGAAAGAAAGGGACAATGAAGTAAAGGAAGCACATAGAACTCCTAATACACATGACCAGAGAAGATCCTCCCCATGACAACACATTTTAATCAAACTCTCTACAGAAAACCATAAAGAGAAGACTCTAAATTGTGCATGAGGGAAATGCCAGATTACTTTCAGAGTATTTCAAATTAGACTCACAGTAGACTTTTCATCACAAACATTACAGGCTAGGAGAGAATGGCGAGATATATTCCATCTTGAGAATAAAACTGTCAACCCAGAGTACTGTACCTGGAAAAGCTATAATTTTTGAATAAAGGTGAAATAAAGACCTTCCATAACAAACAGAAATGCAAAGAATTTGTCATCACACATCCAGCCTTGCAAAAGATGCATAAGGATGTGCTGCACACAGAAACACAGAAAAACGGTCATCCCTACAAAAGAGAAGATAAAGGCAAAAAATCCCCCAGTAAAAACACAGAGGAATCCAAAGTAAAAAAAAAATAGGAATATTAAAGGAAAAATTGCAGGCCAAAGTCATTACTTATCAATAGTCACCTTGAATGTAAATGGCCTCAACTCTCAAGTTAAAGGACAGAGACTGTCTGAATGGATTAAAAAGCAAAACCCATGTATTTGCTGCCTACAAGGAACACATCTCACCAACAAAGATGCATGCAGACTGAAAGTGAAAGGAGGGAAAAAGATATTCCATGCTCCTTTTGATGATTATTCATGCACACACCTATACACATACACACAACACATATACATACACAGGTAAAAATATGTCATCTGACGTAAATGCAACCCTTATAGGCTAGGGATTAAAAGAATAGTTATTTCACTCTGGATATACTTCTGTAATACTCCTGAGGTATTCATTTTTGTCATATGAAGCTTCATTTTTAATTTTCAAAAATGCCTTCCAAGTTCAAGTTAGTGACATGCACATGTGTATTTAAATATCAATCAGTTCATAGTCAGTAGCATAATTTTAAGGATTGCATATAATTACCTGTGTCTTTTGGGGGATCCATATATACATATACACACATTGAATGGGTTTTTCACTCACATGTCATTGATGGATTCCACATAAGTAATGGGTGTTGTTTCCTTTGGGTTTGACCTAAGGGAATATAAAGATATATAGTCAGAAATCACACAGGATTTTATCTTACTACTTTTCTCAAATGACTACAGTTACTCTGGATGTGAACTGGTTGATCTTCAGATGGTCATGTTATATCACTGTTTGAACTTGGTAGGTATTTTTATTAGATATGTAACGTTATGGAGGCTGATGTAGTGGCATTGGTTAAGCTGTAACCTAGGATGCTTGCATCCCATTGGACACTGCTCTGCTCCCCTGCTGCTCCACTTCTGATCAAGCTCCCTTGATGTGTGCCTGGGAAAGTGGCAGAAGATGACCCAAGTTCTTGGGCCCATGCATCCACATGGGAGACCTGGAAGAATGTCCTGGATTCCTGGCTTTGGTCCAGCCTCATACCAGCTATTGTGACAATTAGGGAGACTAACAGCAGGTACCAGGAATACCAAAGAGAGATGTGTTGGGGATACAGCAATAAATCACCTTAGGGACAAAGTTCAGACTAGCAGAAGGGGCAATATGAGTTTTTGATGTAGGCAGCCTCATTGAACGATTACCAAGTTTTCCTGATGGGTTCTATTTTTTAGCTTTTATTTAATAAATATAAATTTCCAAAGTACAGCTTTTGGATATAATCTGATGTGTTCTACTGAGGAAGTGAATTGATCAATATTCAAGTTATCCCTCAGATCCAGCTGACAGACTAGGACAGCCAATCATTTTTCTTGGGGCACCAATCTACCTGCGCATGAAACACCCATACAATAAATGGGATATATTTCCAATATTCAGGAGTCAAAAACTTTCTTTAAAAAATGGCTGTAGATAGGACCACCTAAGGGACAAGTCTCTGGAATACACTTAAAGATCTTGCTCAGATTCTTAAATTGTGCTTATACAAGGCAGGGCAATCTGTATAAGCATTCATCTGATCCACCGATTTTAATTTTCATACAGTTTTAGCATTTTCATGCCAAGTTGTAAGCCCCTGTGTCACTAATAAAAACACATTCATGACCTTTACTGTGGTAATTAACAACATTTCAGGTGTTAAGACAAAACAACTGAAGCCCTTGTGGTGGCCTCTGTGTGGAATGGTTTCCTGAGTTGGTCCTAGCTTATCATTCCAGAATACATCACCCTCTGGTAGAGCAACCAGATTTCCCATAGGAAAAGCACAAAGTGATTGGTATATGCATGTTATCACATCATTGAAACTAGTGTTTTTAAGGGCATTTCAGGCATAGATTAACAAGGTCTTTATTCTGTGAGCTTGACAAATTTCATCTCTATACAGTTTATATTTAGCAAGGAAGAATGTGCAGATTGCCTATCATATTAACTAAAGTTGAAAGTTATGTTTAAGATTCAATATATTTGAATAATATCACTTACGTATTAGTATTTTTCTTTCGAGAGAACCAGCGATACTGACGATTCTTTTTGAATCTCTTCATATCGCCATGTGGTTAAATTCAATCCAAAATCTAAGAAAAGCAAAAGCACTTGTGAATTTTATATCCCATGTCTTTAGACACCTTTCATATCCTTCAAATTAGAAAGACTCACATAGAACTTATTAGGTATGGATCAACTGAATCTATAAACATAGGAAATCTACAGTACCATGTAATTTGATCACTCATGTGGAACATGCATTCTGTATTTGTGCTTGATATTTTAGTTCCAAAAGAAGAAAAAAACATTTTTTGAATATTCAACAACATTTAAGTTTACCTGCAGTACATTTATTTTTGAAACTTCTTGGTTGTTTTTTAATGATTTTTTTTTTTATTTCTTAGAAAGGCAGTTATAGAGAGAAACAGAGAGACAGAGCGAGCGAGACCTTCCATCTGCTGGTTCACTCCCCAAATAGCTGCAATGGCTGGAGCTGGGCTGATCTGAAGCCAGGAGCCAAGACCTTCTGGATCACCCACATGGATTCAGGAGCCCAAGCATTTGGGCCATCCTTGGCTGCTTTCTCAGGCCATTAGCAGGGATCTGGATTGGAAGTGGAGCAGCTGGGATTCAAAATGCACCCAAATAAGATGCTGGCACTGCAGGCATTGTCTTTACCTGCTATGCCAGAGCAGCAGCTTTACCTGCTATGCCACAGCACTGGCCCCAGAAAAGACATTTTTAAGATCACCCAATTGCTACACAGAATGCAGAAAGTGAAACAAAATCTATTCTACATCAATATCTGTATCATCATAGTGACTTACAATAGTTCCATCCTGAAATATTCTGCAGAATAAATCAAAGAAGTGTGAGAAAAAGAGATGTGTCCCTCAACATTATACCCAGTGGCTTTGTATCATGTAAGAAAATTGGAAGTCACTGGAAAACAAGACATTTCCAATCACATTGCCAGGGAAAAACAACCAGTGACTACACTTAGGCAGCCAGAATTGTGCCATAAGCCCCTAAACTCTTAGCAAGGAGAGAAAAATAAATAGAAAAGTAATTTTAAAAAAATAGTCCAATTTGGGCATAAATGTCAATTTTGAGTTTTGGACCTATGCTACAGGCACCTGTAACTTTCATACCTTTGAGTGGATACCAACTCATTGGTAAAGGAGGTAGAAATCCCCAAGCTCCCAGTCTACAACCTGGTGATACAGAGAAGCGGCAGAGTCACATCTTTAGATGTGAACTGGGATCAGCCAAGGCAAATTGGGATTACTAAGAATCTTCTCTTTCTTACTAAGGCTCAGAAGAGGCTAGAAACAACAGGATACAGTAGGTCTCATTCTTGTGTACTCCTGCAGATTCCCCTAAAAGGGAGCCAACTTTTTTTAGATCTTGATTCAAGTTTCTTCTCCTACTATCCTTCAGAATACCTTTTTCCCTTTTTTCATATTTTCTTGTATGCATGTTTATATAGCTTTTCTTGTTTTTAATTTCCCTAAATCCAAGTTTGTTAAGTCAAATCTTTACTCAATTCCTTGCCAGCAACAAGGTCACTGCTATTTAACCAATATCGACTTAGTTGTTCACTGGTCCCAGAGGGTAAGGGAGATTTGGGAGGTTCCCCAGAGGGTAGAGAATGGTGCTCTTCTCACCACTGGGCTCAAGGCTATCTTCCTATCTATGAGCCCTAAAGACTCCCAGCCAGTCGCCACTCTCTTCCCTCCCTTTTCTCCAGCTATACACCTCCATTGTTTTCATGAAAATGAGAAGGTAGGGGATAGAATGGGGGATCTTGCTCAGAGATCCTTACCACCATGTCCTATGCCTTTGGCTGCGAACATGCCAATGAAGGAACAAAAATTCCATGTCATGGCAACCACAGATTCTGGTGGTCCTGAGATCATTGTGAGGAAAGAATGGAATGAACTTGGTCCCAAACTGCAAAGATTTTTTTAAAGACACATACTGTTTGTTTTACAGTTGGGTGATAGAGTATACCAACATCAAATACTCCAGAAGAATAATCTCAAAGCAGAGATTATTCAATCTGTTTTTTTTCTCTTGTATATAATGGAGGGGATTCTTATATACATAGATACTTCAAAAACTAGCTTTATCTTCTTCGTGGTTTGGAAGACTCAATACAGTTGTCAGTTCTTCCTCAAAAGAGTGTACAAATTCAATGCAATCTCAATCAAAAATTCCATTAGGCTTTAAGAAAATTTTGGAGGAAATTGGCAAGTGTTTCTAAAATTCATGTGGAAATACAAAGGAATTAGCATAAACCAAACAACTTTGAAAAAAGAACAAAGTTGGAGGGCAAACATGAGTTGATTTTCAAAACATGAGTTTTGTATAAACAAAACGTATAAGACAGACTTAAGTAAAAATAAATCAATTAAACAATCAAAAGAATAATAAAGAATCAAAAATCAAGGTATATACCTACACAAATAGACAACAGAGATGGAAAGAGAAATCAGCCATGCAGAGTAGTATTTTCAAAAAATGGAGGTTTATTGATTGGAAAATCAACTTCAATATGTAAATCTCATCAAACCAAAACCCAGAGAAATAATTGTAAAACTAAAAGTCAATCAAATTTCAGGAGAATATTCTATGGCCTGTGTTAAGCAAAGTTTTCTAGACACAACCCCACAAAACACTATCCACAAAATAAAAATTGGCAAGTTAGACTTCATCACATTTTTAAACTTCTCTCCAAAAGACAGTTAAGAGAATGAGAAGGGATTTCACAGCTTGGGAGAAAATCATTCCAAAGCATATATTTTAAAAGAGACATCCAAGGTATTCCAAGATGGCAGAATGGGACTGGAGATTACTGCTCTAGTCAAGGGGAAGATAGTTTAAAAAAAAAAAGTGGAGATAGTGCAATCTCAGGGAACAGTTAAGAAGAAAACTGCAGTGGGAACTCCACATAAGTTAGAAGGATGCTGTAGATCTAAGTAGAGGGTGTGGACATGCAGCATGAACACAGACACAACACAGGACCCCAGCAGCCAAGAGCCTCAGCGACAGCTTTGGAGAGTGGGGTGAGAATAAACTACCAGCCACCAGCCATAAAGCTGTGGGTAGGGACTGGCATGAGTCTGGCTTGGAGCCCTGTGGCAGACAGTGTACCTACCATTCTAAAGAAAAACAAAGGGGCCTGTTTCTCTCTCCTCCTGGCCACCTTACAATGGCATCCTGTAACTACCTGAGAGAGAGCAGGCGCCATTTTGCACATAGGTAACTGCTGCACCAGCTTGTGTCCACTCAACCAGTAGCCACCCGAGAGGAGACGTCCTGAGTCTGGCTGGGAGAATTGACAAGGGGCTGGGTGCCCATGACTGTGGGAGCCTTGTGTTCAGGGACAGTGAAAAACTGTGGCTGTGTAAGAGGGTACAGCGTGTGGCTGGGTCTCTGAGCAGTTGCTCTGGGAAGCTCCACACACCCCAGTCTCCCTGATTGCCTTGGGAGGGCCATTGCTGAGGGATCTGTGCTCACATTGAAGCTGGCATAGATCTTTGTGTGGTTCTTGTGGCAGCATGGATGAATACTGCACCCACTAGTGATAGCACCCAGGCATTAGTTGCCGTGGAGGAGAGAAGTTCAGTCTGAGACTATGCCAGTAGAGCTGATCAAACCCTCACCTATAATAATAAAAAAGAGGACTGTTAGCATGTCAACTTGGTTGTCACCTTGGACATTCCCCTCACCTTGAAACACAGAACAGAGCTCTCTGTTAATACCCTTCATACACCTCTGAAAGAGCAGAGACTTCACTAAGCCATAGAGGCATAGTCCAAAGATAAAACCCATCAAGAGGAAAACAAAACTACGGATATCTCCAAAAATGCTTTAAAATAATTGCAGAAATTCAAGAAACAAAAATATACTACATGACCCCCAAAGGAACACAAAAATACTTCAATACTAAAATCTGAAGATGAAAAGTTTAATGAAATGCCAGTAACTAATTTCAAGAAATTGATTATAGGATTACTTAGAAGTAACCAGAGGCAAATTGAGGAATTACAGTAATCTTTATGTGATATGAATGAAAAATTTTCCATGAAATTAAAGAGGAATCAAAATGAAATTTTGTAATTTAAGAATTCAATAGATCAAATTTAAAAATGTGGAAAACTTTAACAACAGATTCGGTGAGGCAGAAGAAAGAATATCTGAGTTAGAAGACAAGTCTCTGGAAATTTTACAGTCAGACCAAAAAAAGAAGAAATCAGAAAAATTAAAAACAGTGTTGGAGATTTATGGGATACTCTCAAAGGACTCAACATGTGGGTCTTAACAGTTTTGGAAGGCGTGGAAAGAGAGAATGGATTAGAAGGCCTTTTTATTGAACAAATTACATACAACTTCCCCAATTTGGAGAATGAAAGGGATGCCCAAGTACAGGAAGCACATAAAACTCCTAATAGACGTGACCAGAAAAGACTTTCACCAGGAAACACTGTAGTCAAACTTTTGAAGTAAAACATAAAGAAAAGGTTCTAAAATGTGCATGAGAGAAATGCCAGATTACTTTCACACGATCTCCAATTAGACTCACAGCTGACTTATCAGGAAGCCTACAGGCTAGGAGAGAATGATGAGACATACACCAACTCTCATGAGAAAATACTGTCAACCCAGAATACTGTACCCTACAAAGCTCTCATTTATGAATGAAGGTGAAATAAAGACCTTCCATAATAAACAGAAATTGAAAGAATGTGTCTCCACTTGTCCAGCCTTACAAAAAGATACTTAAGCATGTGCAGCACACAGAAACAGAGAAACATGGTTGTCACTATGAAAGATTGTGAAGGCTGAAAATTTTGCAGTAAAAGTATCAAGGAAAACCAAAATAAACAATGGGTGTCAATTTTGTTTATTTTTTCAAAAAACCAGCTCCTTGTTTGGCTGATTTTTTATAATTTTTTTGGATTCAAACCTGTTGATTTCTTCTCTGATTTTAATTATTTCTCTTCTCCTACTATATTTGGGTCTGGTTTGCTGCAGATTTTCTAGATCCTTGAGATGAATTGAAAGCTCATCTATTTGGTGCCTTTCCAATTTCTTGATGTAGGCACCTATTGATATAAACTTTCCTCTTAACACTGCTTTTGCTGCATCCCATAAGTTTTGGTATGTTGTGCTGTTATCCTCATTTACTTCCAAAAATTTTTTGATTTCTCTTCTGATTTCTTCTATGACCCATTGTTCATTCAGGAGCATGTTGTTCAATCTCCATGTGTTTGCATATGCTCTAGGGATTCCTGAGTTGCTAATTTCCAACTCCATTCCTTTATGGTCTGAGAAGCTCCATGTGAAATCTTTACTTAATATATACTAAATCGATCTTTTGTATATAAAGATAATTGAAAATGAATCTTGATGTGAATGGAATGGGAGAGGGAGCGGGAGATGGGAGGGGTGTGAGTGGGAGGGAAATTATGGGGGAAGCCATTGTAATCCATAAGCTGTACTTTGGAAATTTATATTTACTAAATTAAAAAAATAAATAAAAATTTCATAAAAATGGGAATATTTATGGAAAAATGGCAGGACCAAGTCATTACTTATCAATAATCATATTGAATATAAATGGCCTCAATTCTTCTGTTAAAAGACACAGACTGGCTGAATGGGGGAAAAAGACCCATCTGTGCTGCCTACAAGAAACGCATATCACCAATAGAGATACACACAGACTGAAAGTTAAATTATAGAAAAAGGTATTCCACTCTAGCAGAAACCCAAAAGAGATGGTGTAGCCATCCTAATATCAGACAAAATAGACATTAAGAGAAAAGCTGTTGAAAGAGACAAAGAATGGCACTACATAATGATTAAGGGATCAATTAAACAGGAAGATGTGATTATAATAAATGTATATGCACACAATTGCAGGACACCCAGCTAGTAAAAGAAATGTTAATGGATCTACATCAAGCAACTCAACAGGCACCAAATAAATGAGCTAGCAGTGCATCTCAAGGACCTAGAAAAATAACAGCAAAACAAACTCAAAATTAGTAGGAGAAAAGAAATAATTGAAATTAGAGCAGGAGGATAAATAAATAAAATTGAAACAGAAGAAAAACATTACAAGAGATCAGTGAAATGAAGAACTGGTTTTTGAAGAAAATAAACAGAATACACCATTGGCCAACAAACCAAAAAGATAGGAATAAGACCAAAATCAATAAAATAGGGATGTAATAAGCAATATATTAACAGATATTGCATATATAAAAAGAATAATCATGAATTACTACAAAGAGCTGTATGCCAACAAATCCAGAAACCTAGAAGTAATGGATAGATTTCTGGCCACATACAACCCAAAATTAAGCCTAAAAAACCTAAACAGACCAATATCCAAGATGGAGATTGAATCAGTAATAATAAAGACCCTCCAAAATTATTTGCAAACTATGCAACTGATAAAAGATTAATAACCAGGGCCGGTGCCACCGCTCACTAGGCTAATCCTCCACCTTGCAGCGCTGGCACACCGGGTTCTAGTCCCAGTCGGGGCACCGGATTCTGTCCTGGTTGCCCCTCTTCCAGGCCAGCTCTCTGCTGTGGCCAGGGAAGTGCAGTGGAGGATGACCCAAGTACTTGGGCCCTGCACCCCATGGGAGACCAGGATAAGTACCTGGTTCCTGCCATCGGATCAGTGCGGTGCGCCGGCCGCAGCGCGCCACCCGCGGCGGCCATTGGAGGATGAACCAACGGCAAAAGGAAGACATTTCTCTCTGTCTCTCTCTCTCACTGTCCACTCTGCCTGTCAAAAAAAAATTAAAAAAAAAAGATTAATAACCAGAATCTACACATAGAT